CTTGAAAATTGTACCTGCATCAAACCCTCTGGAGTGTTCATCCAGTTCTGGTGAATCAGAGTTCCTCTAAGCATGCTCTGTAATATTTGTATGGTTTTGCCAAGTAGGTAAGTCAGCAGATCTTAGCCTTAACAAGAACATACATACTTTAGTAATAATTTTCCTTAGAGTCATCTTATGAAAGGGATTTATAAGATATTAAAGAAAAACAGGGTTTACAGTGTATTTAGGTTGTTGAATATATTGCTGAAACAACCTGGATTTCATTGAGTTACTTTCTAAGTCAGGTTTGTCTTCAATGATATTTAAAAACTAAAAATTCAGTAAATTTTTCAGTATTAACAAAGCACTCACCCTTGTCATAATACACTTTCAGTCTTTATTCATCCGGACAAAATACATCGTAGTACATTTATGTTTTATGTAAATATAAACCCAAAAAAAAGTTATAAAAGGGGAAGGAGAACGTAAGTGGGTAATACAAGAGATTTTCCTATGTCATTCGAAAGCAGATCTTTAGTAATGATGTGTAAGAAATAATTGTAAAAAATAAAATTACTACCAATTAAGTCTCCTGAAATAGATTTACTGAGGTGTTTGATTTGTCTAGCTTTGAAATTCCTCATCTTTCCAAAACAGTTCCACTGGAAATTGTACCTTCCAGTGCAATTAGATAGATACTAGTGTTATTAGTGTTAGTGTTAGATTAGATTAGATAATAGTGAATTCTAGGGAAGTTTTCAAAATGCTTCTGTAAAATAGTCAGAAATTACGGTTTTATTTTAGACCAAGTGATCTTGACAGCACTTTGAAAATACTATCTGGACCTACGGATACTTTTACTTTCAAAATAATTAAACAGTTTAGGTGACCGAGATGAAGAGGGTCCTTTAAATGATACTCATTTTAGTGTTTGAAACATTCTTTAAATAACTACTGGCTCTGAATAAAATAGCTGAGCAACACCAAAGTGGAAAACTAGCCAGATGGAGCTGGAAACCAGACTCTTGGTCCCATATTCTCTAGTAAAGAGTCCTTGGGGTTGGAACTAGATGATCTTGAAGCTGTCTTCCAAACTAAGCCATATGATGATTCCTTAACTTTCTGGAAGTAATTCAATAATAATGAGCTAAGGAATGTGATGTAAAATACCAGCTCGTTTGGAATGACTTGATGTTCCTGTGCTGATAATATTTGTCAAAACGCTTGGGTATCTCTCCTATGGAAGATGGCAGTTGATATTTCTGCTGTAAGGATGGTGATGAGAGATGAAGGAAAGCGAGGATAATGTCCTCTGGCAAGAAAATTTTCAAAAAAAAGTTTGCTGTTTTTGAGAGTTGTGGATATATTTTTTTTTCTAATAAATTTTTTTTTAGACAGCAGCCTGAAAAGGTGCTGTGGGTAGGACTTGGGGGCAGGCAGGTTACAGGCAGACACAACGAGGCTATGATATTCTCTTGGACTATTGCAAAAGGCAAAAAACCCCTGTTTCTCAGGAAGCTCATACCATGTTGTAAGGCTGGAGGTGGATGTAAAGCTCCAAAGAAAATCACTTCTCAGGTAAGAAGGAATTGTTTGAGGTGCACAAATCAAAACAATTATCGCTCCGTTGTGCTGAAGTTGCTGAACCTTTCTCGTAACCTATACATTGATTTATGCCTTATTTTGTTTTTTTAGGTTTATGGTGGGCTGCGGTAGATGTGATGATTGGTTTCATGGTGATTGTGTTGGACTGAGTCTTTCTCAAGCCCAGCAGATGGGCGAAGAAGATAAAGAATACGTGTGTGTGAAATGCTGTGCTGAAGAAGACAAAAAAATGGAGTGTTTTGATCCAAGCGTACCGGACGCTCAGGTGAAACTTGAAATCCACAGAGAAGAAAAAGCAACCGAGTGTGAAAAACCGGGGATGTCGAAGCCAATAGCTGCTTGTAATATAAATGTAACAGCTGAAAAAACAAAGCAAACTGAGGACGCTGGGAAGCACAAAGTCAAAATCTTCAGACGGGTGAGTCTTTTCTAAGTTCTGACAATCATTGGGGGTAGAAGGAATTTTCTCTTTACCCCCTGCCATTTAAAATACCAGGTAACAGACGTTTTTATGAATCTAATTTAAAACTTTTCCATTGTTACTTTCAGAGTTACGAACTAGCTTGACTCTTTTGGGATGATAACTCCTTATACTGAGCCCGGTTATGTGCATGTTGTGTGTGTGTATATGCATGTGTGTAGGTAGAAATGCTGGAGAACTTTGTGCATTTATCTTTCAGATTTCTAAAGGCTTTTACAGGACATCTGTCAATTTGCTCTAAGATGCGTGCAGATCTTTTAAATATCTGGAAAACAATATAAAAACAATATTCCAGTTTTGGCGTGCAGATCTTTTAAATATCTGGAAAACAATGTGAAAACAATATTCCAGTTTTTTGTTGTTTAAACTACAGATTGTACATAGAAGAAAATGCCTAACATTTTAATTTCTACTTCCTTTGTGTCTCATTTGTTTAAACTACAGATTGTACATAGAAGAAAACGCCTACCATTTTAATTAGGGCCTTTCTGCTTCCTTTGTGTCTCATTCTACTAACCAAAGCATAATTTGCAAGAGCAGTGAGATGTTTTTATTACAATTTTTTAGAGTCTTTTAATAGATAGCATCATATGCATCGTAACTTAATCATCAGTAATCCTTTTTGTCTTATTTCTGAACAGTAGTATTGTAATTCTGGCAGGAAAGCTATTTGATTAATTTTGGTTTATAAGTGACTTCCTGTGAATACATGTTTCCAACTGGTTAAGGGCTGTTCATTGGTATCCCAGACCTTCCAAAATACCTGAAAACATAGTGGTTTTCAATATAGAGCTTGACTGCAAATTGCCTGTGGTGTGTCTTCGGCCAATATTTCAAAAAGATTGTTGAGGAATACTTGGCAGTGATTTGGGATATTGTTTAGTAACTTTTTAGAAAATATTATACAAGGGATATTATACGAAAATGCGATATTATAAGAAAATATTATACGCCCGGGGAATTCATTATACAGTCTACTTCAGAAGAAAAAAAAATGGGAAAATTGTGTGGCAATTAGATAGTGGTTCAGTGTAGTGTTCAGTGGCATGTGAAGGTGTGCAGTAATTGAGAGGTGGTTCTGTGTGGCATTCAGTGGTGTGCTAACATGTAAATATTTATTTCAGGAATCTGGTGATGGGAAGAATTTGTCCGAGTCCAGAGACTCGGATACTAAAAAAGGGCAACATGTTCCTGCTCGAAAAGGATCACAAACTGCTGTCATTCCTCGGCGCTCCCCTGACGATAAAAATGAAAAAATAAGTAAAGAATCCCTTAATGTGGTTGAAAAGTCCATGAAATCAGGTAGTGAGTTTTGAATTAATTCACACATGTGCAGTGAAGGATGATGAATTTCTTTATAGTATCAGTTTCTCAAAGCACATTTTGTAGTGCAAGTGATGATGATCTGGAGAGCTGTTTCTTCCCATGATGTTTATTATCTGTATTTCTTGATTCTCTTTAAATTTTAGTTAGCAGGTAAATGTTTCTTGTGGAGATATGTGACTATTTCCCATTTGAATAGTAGGGGATGCTCACATGAGCAAGAATGGGTGAAAAAGTACACAGAGACACCCATGTATCAAACTTCATTTCACATTGCAGAAAGCTTTGAAATTCTGTTTGATAAAATACTGTGAAAAACTTAATGTACATAAATGTTTTAATTGCTATATAAACTATACTTTGACTTACTGATGTCTTTTGCACAAATTGACTAATAATAGTATCGACTCATCTCAGAGGGGGACATTGAGAGCTCAGCATGCAGGATAGATTTTCATCCAAATTTTATTTGAAAGGTTGAAGGGACATATTTCCCCTCCCAGCAACCTCTGTCCCCCCGCTTCCCTTCCAGGAAGCATTATTCTTCTAAGATCATGGTCATAGGAAATTATTTTCACTTGGGACTGAAATCTCAGCAGCAAAAGTAGTGAGATTTTGTGTGAGAACTGTGTCTTTATATCCTGAACTCAAGCTTCGAATTCTTGTCTTAAAAACAAAATAAAGGAGTCTGTTCTGATCTTTTGCCAATGCTGGTACATTCTAGAAGCTCTTTTTGGTGGAAGAAAACACTAGGAAATGTCAGGGTTAAGTGTAAATCTCAATGTAAGTATTTTATACCAAACGATGCCTCCTAAACTTCAAATACCTTGTTGTTCAACTTTGAAATTCCGAGTTACAAAATAATTGACATCCTTTCTAACTGTAAATTGCACAGAGTGCAGCGAGTCTTTGGCATCCATGAAATAATTGAATCGTTCTAGAATATATTGATTGAGCTAGGAGATGACAAAAAGAGTTGTTTTCAGCGACGATTTCAGAATAGAACTTAATATAAAAATCATTTTTAAACAGAGGGGAAGCTTGGCCTGCTTCTTTAGGACAATTAGCATGAAATTATTAAGCAGCACATTTGTTTTAAGAGATTAACTGCTGTGAATTATGCTTCTGCTTTTATTGTTTATTGATAATCTCGCCCATCGCTTCCTGGTTAAGGAACTGTGTTTTCAGATGGTTGAAACTGGCAAATATGCAGAAGTTTTCAATTTTCCCTGATTGCTACATCTTTGGAAAGGTTTTAATCCAGTTCTTTGTCCTTATTCTGAGGAGGAGATAAAAAAAAATATGTATTGTGCAAATAAAAGCATTATTAGAGTTGCTTTACTTAACAAGCCTAGCACATGGATACTTTAGATCATGGTACAGAATGGCAAACGGCTGTCTCAGGTCTGTCCTGCCTCGCTGTCGAGGAAGGGGCAATCAGTAATTTTGATAGGGATCAAATTTGCATTAATGAGAGAGTTGATCCGACCCCACTGTCTGCCCAACAGAAAAGAAAATCTGTCTTTTTATAGCTGCTTGAAACTGCAGTAAGTTTACTTCTGGTATTAATGCATTTTAAGTTGCACTCAATAGGCGGAGGTAATAATAAAGAAATGCTTCTTTTTACCACCAGGCACTCGAGTTGGATCTTTATCAGTCTTCAGTTTGGGGTTTTTTTTCAGAGTAGAAAGTGAATAAATAATATTGGTTATTTCCCATTGCTTTCATAAACAGAAGGCTACTGCTCCAAATTAGTGACATGTTCAGGTGCTGAGACAAACAAGCTTTCAGTTGACGCTCTGCAAATTAAAGTTTGAAGGAATTTGGGGTTTCCTTTAATGATTTTAATTTGATTAGAAATTTCCGCTATTATTTATGACACAAAGCTTATAATGGCCTCCTTTAAGAGTGGCTGTTACCTGAATCAGAAGCTGAGGTTATTATAGTTGAAGTAGTTTTGATGGCTAACAGATACAAAAATGCGAAGTTTAATGAAAAATGCTATCTTGAAGTAAAGTTTAATATACTTACAGTAAGTGCTTCCCAGTATATTATTTCTCAGTTTACTCACTAAAAAATTAATCTGGGCTTTTACAGAAATTCAGAGTCAAACATTCTACTTAAGATCAACTTAATAAGCACTGGTCATCTTGGTTCAGTGTAGAAGAAAATAATTTAAGTCAAAGAGCAAAGGTCCTGTTTGTTTTCGCTAAGGAATTTTTTTCTGGATTAATCTATGTAATATGAAATCCGAACCAAATAAGAAAAAAAACCAACCCCAACAAACCTGTGAAGCCATTCCTTCTCCTTGAAGGTCAATTCTTAGCAGTTTAAAAATAAAAATTCATGACATCTAGCAACAGTCAAAGCTTATAGCGGTGGCTTGAGAAGCTTACGGTTGTTAACTCTGTTTTGATAGGTGTTCATGAGAAACAAGAAATTAAGAAAAAGAAAAATGAGAAAGGATCCGTCAGTGCAACACACCTGCCAGCCGTGCCAGCTTCCAAACCTTCTGCTGATCAGATAAGACAGAGTGTCAAGCAGTCTCTTAAAGAAATTCTGATGAAAAGGTAAAAGATACATTATTAGATGAAATTATTAAGTTGTGTTTGTATTTCCTTTCTTTCAGAAGGCAGGGAAAAATTACTATTTGGAAGCATTAGGTAATTCCCCTTGTGTTCTCTCACAGATTGACAGACTCCACTTTGAAGATTCCTGAGGAGAGAGCAGCGAAAGTTGCCACAAGGATTGAAAGGGAGCTGTTTTCTTTTTTTCGGGACACTGATGCAAAGTATAAGAATAAATACAGAAGTTTAATGTTCAATCTAAAAGACCCTAAAAATAAAGTATGTATTATTTGTTTGTTGTGCTTTACAGAAATGTTTTATTTGCCATAGATTAAAGGCATAGTCTTCTATGTAGATAAATTATTAATTCTTTCACAATTTATCCTGTTTGCTTTTCTTTTTCCCTGTAGGTTTCCTCATCTCTTTGATGTCGTTTGTCCTCTTGTGCACTCAGAATTCTTTTTCCTTTGTTCCCCATCAGTAATTTTCTGCTTCTTGCTCCCAGTGTACTTTTTATAGCGGGGTTTCAAAGTGTGGTGGAGTTTAAGTGTTTGGCTTTACTGCTGATCTGCTGTTTGGGTTTCCCTGTCATCCCCCCTTCAGCTCTTTCCTGCTCGCTGCATTTAGTTTTGTTTCTCTCCAGTAGCTCGTCTCACTTTTTTTTTTCATACCCAGATTTCTCAAGCTTGGTCTTCACTCTCTTTTCTGCTCCCTGTTCAACGTCATACTCACCTTCTCAGCTTCTGGGTTTGGTCCTTTTATTAGTTATTCTGGTCAAGTTGCTTTGTCTGTAGTATTTTACTATTAAAATTAACCAACTGTAAATTACATGAACAGGCTAAATTCTGTTGCTGGCTTCTCTTTGCTCATACTGCTAAATTATGTGGTTGGTTTAGGTTTTTTTTACCCTAGGAATTCAGTAAGTCAAGAAACATAGACATCCTTTTTAATATTAGGTTCTTTCTGCTGTGTAACACGGGAGATTTTGCACCTTTTACGAGAAAAATGTTTGAATTGCTGCTGCAATGGGCATAAACACACTTTCTGCTTTGGAACAACAGCTAATTATACATCTGCTCATTAAGGGTATACATTCTGTTACATAGTAAATTATTAATTCTTTCACAATTTATCCTGTTTGCTTTTCTTTTTCCCTGTAGGTTTCCTCATCTCTTTGATGTCGTTTGTCCTCTTGTGCACTCAGAATTCTTTTTCCTTTGTTCCCCATCAGTAATTTTCTGCTTCTTGCTCCCAGTGTACTTTTTATAGCGGGGTTTCAAAGTGTGGTGGAGTTTAAGTGTTTGGCTTTACTGCTGATCTGCTGTTTGGGTTTCCCTGTCATCCCCCCTTCAGCTCTTTCCTGCTCGCTGCATTTAGTTTTGTTTCTCTCCAGTAGCTTGTCTCACTGTTTTTTTTTTCATACCCAGATTTCTCAAGCTTGGTCTTCCCTCTCTTTTCTGCTCCCTGTTCAACGTCATACTCACCTTCTCAGCTTCTGGGTTTGGTCCTTTTATTAGTTATTCTGGTCAAGTTGCTTTGTCTGTAGTATTTTACTATTAAAATTAACCAACTCTAAATTACATGAACAGGCTAAATTCTGTTGCTGGCTTCTCTTTGGGTCTTCCCTCTCTTTTCTGCTCCCTGTTCAACGTCATACTCACCTTCTCAGCTTCTGGGTTTGGTCCTTTTATTAGTTATTCTGGTCAAGTTGCTTTGTCTGTAGTATTTTACTATTAAAATTAACCAACTCTAAATTACATGAACAGGCTAAATTCTGTTGCTGGCTTCTCTTTGCTCATACTGCTAAATTATGTGGTTGGTTTTGGTTTTTTTACCCTAGGAATTCAGTTCAGTAAGTCAAGAAACATAGACATCCTTTTTAATATTAGGTTCTTTCTGCTGTGTAACACGGGAGATTTTGCACCTTTTACGAGAAAAATGTTTGAATTGCTGCTGCAATGGGCATAAACACACTTTCTGCTTTGGAACAACAGCTAATTATACATCTGCTCATTAAGGGTATACATTCTGTTACATAGAATACAGAATCAGAGAATCTTCATGGTTGGAAGGGACCTTTGAGATCACCGATTCCAATCATACACACACACACAGAGAAAAAAACCAACCCCCCCAAAAAAGCCCGAAACAAAACAAAAAAAACAAACAACACACAAACCAAATCGTTCAGTAAGTCAAGAAACATAGACATCCTTTTTAATATTAGGTTCTTTCTGCTGTGTAACACGGGAGATTTTGCACCTTTTACGAGAAAAATGTTTAATATTAGGTTCTTTCTGCTGTGTAACATGGGAGATTTTGCACCTTTACGAGAAAAACATTTGAATTGCTGCTGCAATGGGCATAAACACACTTTCTGCTTTGGAACAACAGCTAATTATACATCTGCTCATTAAGGGTATACATTCTGTTACATAGAATACAGAATCAGAGAATCTTCATGGTTGGAAGGGACCTTTGAGATCACCGATTCCAATCATACACACACACACAGAGAAAAAAACCAACCCCCCCAAAAAAGCCCGAAACAAAACAAAAAAAACAAACAACACACAAACCAAATCACCCAACCCCACAATCTCAGGCACTAGAGTATGCCCTGAAGTGCCACCTCTACACGTTTCTGAAATGCCTCCAGGGATGGTGACTCCACCACCTCCCTGGGCAGGCTCTTCCAGTGCCTGACCACCCTCTCAGGAAAGTCATTCTTCCTGATATCTAATGTAACCCTCCCCTGCCCCAACTTCAGACCATTTCCTCTGCTCCTGTCATGATTCCCTTGGGAGAAGAGGCCAACCCCCACCTCTCTCCACCCTCCTTTCAGGGAGCTGTAGAGGGCAATGAGGTCTCCCCTCAGCCTCCTCTTCTCCAAACTAAACATGCCCAGTTCCCTCAGCCTCTCCTCCTATGACTTGTTCTCCAGACCCCTCACCAGCTTGGTGGCTCTCCTCTGGACACGCTGCAGCACCTCAGTGTCCTTCCTGTAATGAGTGGAGTTCTGGAATTAAGCTTTTTATGTTATAAAATCTTGTACTGCTTCCTACAAGGGGAGATAATTATAAAACCACATGATCCATGTAGTTGTACAGAATACGTTGTATGTTGCTTCTCTGTGTTATTTTCTGCTGCGAGCTGTTGCGTTGATAGCAATAGTTAACTTTTCTTCTTTCCTCTAGATATTATTTAAGAAAGTACTGAAAGGAGAGGTTACTCCAGACCATCTAATAAAAATGAGCCCAGAAGAACTGGCTTCCAAAGAACTGGCTGCTTGGAGACAGAGAGAAAACAGACACGTGAGATTTGTCGATTTACACTGTTCAGTTGACTGCTTAAACATATTTAAATCCCTTTTTCAGGTTAAGCCTGTGTAGAAAGAATGCATGTTGCACAAAGCAGCTCTGACTCATAAGAGGATCTCTATAATTTATTTAGTGTTCAAAACCCAAAGGGATTGTTTGGACAGAAGTGAAAGAAGTGTAGTAAATTCCTGAAAGGGGGAAACCGTGCATTTTCCTTTGCCGTGCAATTTTGTTGCTGTTTCCTCATTCTTCCTTTTGTCTCAAAGACTGAAGGCTTCTTTGTCCTTATTGCCAACATGATTTTAAAGCTCTGGCTGGAGCTTTTTAAACACCAGTTTCTTAGAAATGGAGAGAGATCTCTTTGGACAAACCAAACTCAACTGGTGGTTTTTGTAGCTTACGTACTGATGGAGCATGACAATTCACCCATGGGTGAAATGACTGTATTATCTCAAAATTGTTCTGAGGGCCTAGAAGGGCATGAAAACTCTGTTTATTCTGTAACTGTCTAAAGCCCATCTTGACTAGTACGTGTTCATTGCATTTATTTTTATAAACATCAATAAAATACTGAAAACAGACCATAAAAAACATTATTCCGCTGCTGTGAGGAACAGCTTTGAAACAAAAGCCTACACTGCTCAAAATTTACTGAAAATTTACAATATTTCCTAAATATTTCAGAGAAATGCTTCAAAATTTCTAGAAGTTGAAGTGTCATGCAACATGTAAAATACAGTAAAATGATACATTGCTATTTATTTTCCATTTTCCTATTTAAGCAAGACTTTGAGAATGCTTCATACTAATTTTTATATTTATTTTTTTAAATTTCCCCAGTGTGTTTAAAAGTAACTTGTAGGTATTTGGCAGACAGATAAAGCAATCGCAGGATCCTTGTTTCCTTATGAAACCAGGCTTAAAATATTGGGGAGAGCCAACACAAACTGTTTCTGGTTTAAAAAGTAGAAATGTGCTTTAAGAAGCAATTTTAGAAATAATGGTTTATGTTTTATTTTTTTGCAACAGAGCAAAGCAGCAGAGCTAGTCACAATTAGCATATCATTGCTTTAAGTGTACATTTAAATGCTTTTTCTGAGGTAGAGCTTTAGGTTTATGTACTAAAAAACAAGCTCTTGAAAAACGATACAAATCTCTATGTATTTATGTCCTGCATTGTCTTTAAAATTATGGGAAAAGATTTGATCCATTTTTTTTTTTCTTTAGCTGTTGGAAAAGCAATTAGCTATCTTTAAATGTAGTGTTGGAGGTCTGCATTATAACTAGTTTAAGTACATGCCTTATAAATGCTTGCAGCACTGTAGGTGTAGTTAGACCCACTGCTTGTGCATTTGCTTTATGAGACTACTTGAGTCTTGCAAAATAAGAATATATTCTTTTTTTTTTTCTAATTTTCTTAATGCAATCCTATTTTCTGTTATTGTTTTTGTGGGTTTCCAAATTTTCTTGCGCGGAAGTAAATATACGTAATTTCCTGTTTTTTACAGACAATTGAGATGATCGAGAAGGAGCAGAGGGAAGTCGAAAGAAGACCCATCACAAAAATTACTCACAAAGGAGAAATAGAAATTGAAAGTGAAACACCAATGAAAGAGCAAGAGGAAGTCATGGAAATCCAGGTGGAAAATAAAACGTGGCAACACAGTGTATTTAGTTCATAGGCAATATGTGTGTAAAGTGGATTGTTTATGGTTGTGGTGTTCAGATCTGTTGTTATATTTAGGTCTTCTTTTTTTTTTTTTTTTTCCCCAATGGATTTTCTAATTGCAATCCTATTTTCTGTTATTGTTTTTGTGGGTTTCCAAATTTTCTTGCGCGGAAGTAAATATACGTAATTTCCTGTTTTTTACAGACAATTGAGATGATCGAGAAGGAGCAGAGGGAAGTCGAAAGAAGACCCATCACAAAAATTACTCACAAAGGAGAAATAGAAATTGAAAGTGAAACACCAATGAAAGAGCAAGAGGAAGTCATGGAAATCCAGGTGGAAAATAAAACGTGGCAACACAGTGTATTTAGTTCATAGGCAATATGTGTGTAAAGTGGATTGTTTATGGTTGTGGTGTTCAGATCTGTAGTTATATTTAGGTCTCTTTAGGGTTTAATTTTTCTTTTATCCTCACTGACTTTCACTCCTGGGTATAGTATTTTTAGTTTTTCCACGGTGTGTCCATGACTGTATGATGAATTCTGGTAATAGCAGAAAATACTATAAATCTCACCTAAAATATATTTAGGAATACCAGTTCCTTCTTTTAATGCATTTGTAGATTTTATGTTAGCCTTTTAGGCTATACAGCGGAAGGAAGAGTTTTATGTCTGAAGGGAGGAAAATACCATAAAATAATTAAGCAAAGTGAATAGCAATATTAGGAATATTAACAGAGGGGAGAAAAAGAAGAAAAAAAAAAAAAAGATAAACTGAAATGTGTTTCACTTTTCTTAGGAACCTAATATGAAGTCTGAGAAGTCAGAGGAAGCTGAAAAAGAAGTAAATGAATCTGCATCCCCGGACACCACAAGTCAACATAAAAATCATCTCTTTGATCTTAACTGCAAAATCTGCATAGGTAATCTTGAAAAGCGTGTCAAAATAAATACATCCTGCTAGTATAATGCTTTACAATCATAAATATCAGTATACAACAAGAATGTAAATAAAGGGCATTTTTTTTCCCTACTTTGCTGACAAAGATGTGGAAAAGCAGTGGTTTACTTCATAATTTGCAAAAGACACTATTAAAATGATAGGCTATAAATTGGTATAAATTTGTCTTCTATTTAAAAAAAGAAAGACTGCAGAGAAAGAAATCCCTTTAATGGGTGTATGTGCTATTGTTGATTCCTCATTTCTTTATCCTACCCCATTACAGTGGCAATATTTATGTATACATTGTGTATATTTATACAACATTGTAAATGTATACATTATATAAAGATGTGTAAAACCTATCATTTATTTATCCCATCCCACTTCAGTGATGATATGTAGCATTTTTGCTGTGTCTTCCCTGCCTTCAGAGGAAGTCCTCTTCCGTTTCTTTACTTAAAAAATAAAACCCATTGCATGTCATTCTCTGCAGGCCGAATGGCACCACCTACTGATGATCCCTCTGCCAAAAAAGTGAAAGTGTCCGTGGGAGTTGCGCGGAAGCCATCGGATAACGAGGCAGAGAGCATCGCAGACGCACTTTCTTCAACATCCAGTATTTTAGCTTCAGAATTACTGGAAGACGATAAGCAAGACCCATCAAAATCATCATTCACACCTCTCCCAAAGTAATATAAACTGTAGAAGTGGTATTTTTTCGGTGGAAGACGTTATGAAGCTTGCTAAGCTGTTACGACTAAAGCTAATTTTTTTTTTAATGTCATTTCATTAATCCACTTGTGTACTTGAAGTTGCACACCTCTTCTTAGGAATGGGGTTCTCTGCTGGAGTAAATGATGCTATGCATTTATATATAGAATGTATATATATAGAATGTATAAATGTCTATATATAGAATATATATTGTTAGGATTACAAACTTCTGATTACAACATTTTCTTTTTGGGGGAAAAGTAAACTTCCTTACATTTTCTGGTGCAACTAAGTCTAAAAAGGCACGTGAATTCATATTAAAAAAAGTCAGGATGGTAGATTTCATACTGTATTTTGCTATTAAGGAATGTAGTACGTGCAGTGCTGCCTTTGAGTGTGTGTGATGTGTGTATGTGTATATATATATAAAGCTAAGGGATTTGAGATCACACTAAACAGAGCATTTACACTGATAAATCAGACTCAGTTTCAGATCTCAAAGCGGGGCTTTTCTAGAAATGACAGTTAAGAGTAACTTGTTTGATGTTTTGCCATATTTGCTGTCTCAGGGTATTCGGGTGGTGAGCAGACAGTGGTGCAACAAAACACAGGAGCTAGGAAAGCAGGATGAAGATAGGGCAGCAGGCAGGATGTTGTCCTGTGTTTCTTTGTGTGGCCTCTTCAGTAATAGCTCTTGAACTAAATAACTTCTCCATTCTCAGAGGATACAGTGGTGATATAATGTGCTGCTTGTCTGGTGGTCCTTTATCAACATGTGTCTACTCCACTGGAGGATGGGAAACGTGGTTGTCTGTCTCATTTCATTGATGCTTAAGTATGCTTAGCTGAAAAAGGAAATTCTAAATGGCACATAATTTCTTTTACACAGAAAGATTATGATTTACATGATCGTGCGTAAGATACCGTGTTCTCAACAAACTGGGTTTTTGTTTATTGTTTTTTAGGTCAGAAACGCCTGGTACTGTGGAATGTGAAAGCCTGTTTCTGGCACGCCTGAATTTCATCTGGAAGGGTTTTATCAATATGCCTTCAGTGGCAAAGTTTGTTATTAAGGCTTATCCAGTTTCTGGCTCTTTTGAATATTTAACAGAGGTATTTATATTTCCTGCGAAGAATGAAAAATCCATTTATTAACTTTAGTGACTTGTTTACCTGGAAGGCTAATAATAGTATAATGATGAAAGGCAGTGAAGCATGATCATTGTAAAGTATTTGTAGAATAAAGTGTTTGTGGGAGGATGTGGATTAGGGGATGTATTTGTAAGTAAGTATTTTTCAGTTTGTCCTTCATGGACCCATGGCTCATCAGGATTCAAGTTCTTTGATACGTTTTAAGATGTTTTGCTCTCATTTCACTGTAAGATATTTCTTAAGGATGAGCAGTAGTATTTCCAGAGTTGGTTTTATGTTGAACTGGTTTTTGTTTATTATGGAGCTGCTTCTGTAGTATAAAGTAGCAAGGGAAAGATTGGACCAGATTTGCTACTGAAATAACTACCTTGGTGGCATCCATTTTCTGAATTAGAGGTGAGAAAATTGTAGTACAGTTTCGAATTCAAAGCACTAAACAAGTTTATGCCAATTTTTGGAAGAGAATTGTAGAATCCTAGAATCATCTAGGTTGGAAGAGACCTTTAAGATTATCTAGTCCAACCATCAACCTAACTCTGGTAAACCAAAAGAAAGCCATACCAAAAAAAAATCCCACATTACTGAAGTAAACCAAAAGAAAACCATACCAAAAAAAAAATCCCACATTACTAAAGTATGTCTCTAAGCACTGTGTCAACCTGTCTTTTGAAAACCTCCAGGGATGGGGCCTCAACCCCTTCTCTGGGCAGCCTGTACCAATTCTTAATGCCACCTCCCTGGGCAGCCCATTCCAATTCTTAATGACCCTTTCAGCGTAAAAATTTTTCCTAATCTCCAACCTGAACCTCCCCTGGTGCAACTTGAGGCCATTTCCTCTTGTCCCATCACCTGTGACTTGGGAGAAGAGACCGACCCCCACCTCTCTACACCCTCCTTTCAGGGAGTTGTAGAGAGCAATAAGGTCTCCCCTCAGCCTCCTCTTCTCCAGGCTGAACACCCCCAGCTCCCTCAGCCTCTCCTCACAAGACTTGTGCTCCAGACCCCTCACCAGCTCCGTTGCCCTTCTCTGGACCCGCTCCAGCCCCTCAAGGTCTTTTTTGTGGTGAGGGGCCCAAAAGAAGAGGTGTCTATTGGTGGTTTCTGCTGACAGTGTGAGAAGTCTTCTCATCTTCTACAACAGAAACCTGCCTAACAGCAGTTTATTTTTTTGCCTATCAATCTGGTGGCAATTCTGGTCTTACAAAGACTAAACAGTCCCTGAAAAAAAAAAGTTTATGTAGTGTTCTCTTCAGTGTCTGAGAGGCTGAAAAGGGTGCAACTGCTTATAATAATTGCCTTTGTGTCATCAAATAAAGATCGGAGAGCTCAAAAGGCTCGATGTTACTTCCCAGTGACACAAGATGCATCAGCTTTCTAATTAAAAGGACTGAGGTCTTCTATTAATGTGATTATCTTGACTTTCCTGTAACTCTTCAGTGAAGTGCAGGGCATGCAGTGCCCTTTAATACTGAGGGATTGTTTAATGAATATAATGTACATTTCAAAACTCTTCTGCTTTATTTCAAAGAAGTGTTTTTCTGTAGGTGTTCCTAAATCATTCTGAGAGTCTATTTTTCTTACTTATGAATAGTAATTTCAGTAATATCCCAGAACAAATTTATGCCTACATATACACGTGTCTGTAGGTTATGTTTTTTCCCTCACAATTAAGATTCTGAAAGTTTATTATATTCCTTCATAGACGGGGGGGCTCTCACAGCAGCTCGGTCTTACAGATAACTGGAGTGTTTCCAGAGCACAGTACGGTTATGTTTGCAGTTAATGTTACTGAAAGAAATTATTTTGGGGAAGGTTTAGATGAACAGGATTGAATGATAACTAATTCAGTTCTGATAATGAGCTTTGCACTGAAAATCTTAGTTTAAATAACCAACATTTAAAAGTAAATTAATTTGCTTCTACTATTGTAACTTCTACTGATATTTTAAAATTACGATACAAGAATTTGAGTATGTTTTGAATACGTGCAATAGATACTGTGTGAAGGATTTACCACAACTTTTACACTGTATTCAGATATCCATTGTCCTTTCTCCTAGGATTTACCTGACAGTATTCAAGTAGGTGGCAGGATATCTCCTCACACTGTCTGGGAGTATGTAGAAAAAATCAAAGCTTCAGGGACCAAGGTAAGCATTTTACGTATGGATGGAAGGCTTGCTGTTCAATGTACATCCTACTCACACTAAAGGAGCCTTTTGTTTTTCCTGGAAGGTTTGTGAAATACATGAGGTTTGAAGGATAGGTTACTGTTGGTTATGTCAAATGCGATGGATGGTGGTTCGTTTTCTTACTATCTAACCATAACCTGTCATTTTGTGTTTAAGAATACTTATATTTCTTTGAGACAGCAGCTCATTGTGAACGTTTGGACACATATTTCTTTGAGACAGCAGCTCATTGTGAAAGTTTGGACACCACTTCACGTGTCTCAAGTGTCACTCTTTAGTTTCAGTACTGTTAGAGTATTCAGAGCCAGCTCAGTGGTCCTCTGCTGGACCTGTCCCACTGTATGCAGGTTGTCCTCATGCTGGGGAGCCCAAAATGAGAGACTGTTCTCCAGATGCTCTCTCATGGGTGCTGGATAAAAGGGAACACTCATTTCCCTTGGCCTGGTGGCCTCTCTGATTCTGACACCCAGCACGTAGTGGGCCTTCTTGGCATGGACACGTTGCTGGTTCACATTCAGCTTGTCCACCAGGACTCTCAAGCTCTTCTATGCCAAGCTGCTTTCCAGCCACTCTGTCCCTGGTACCTGGGGTTGCTCCATCTCGGGGAGCAAGCCTTTGAGTTGGCCTTTGTCTGACCTTTGTGAAGGTCACCCCTTTCTTTTTGTCCTCATGCTGGGGAGCCCAAAATGAGAGACTGTTCTCCAGATGCTCTCTCATGGGTGCTGGATAAAAGGGAACACTCATTTCCCTTGGCCTGGTGGCCTCTCTGATTCTGACACCCAGCACGTAGTGGGCCTTCTTGGCATGGACACGTTGCTGGTTCACATTCAGCTTGTCCACCAGGACTCTCAAGCTCTTCTATGCCAAGCTGCTTTCCAGCCACTCTGTCCCTGGTACCTGGGGTTGCTCCATCTCGGGGAGCAAGCCTTTGAGTTGGCCTTTGTCTGACCTTTGTGAAGGTCACCCCTTTCTTTCAGCCTGCTGAGGTCCCTCTGAACGGCAGCCCATGCTCTTCAGCGTGTTGATCACTGCCCCCAATTAGGTGTCATCTCAGTTTTGGAGGGTGTCTCCTGTCCCGACTTCCAGGTCACTAATTACAGAATCACAGAATCTTCTAGGTTGGAAGGGACCTTAAAGATCATCTTGTCCAACCGTCAACCTAACTGACAAAAATAGACACCCACACAACAAACAAGGAACACCATCACTAAACCATACCTCCCAGCACTACATCAACCCGTCTTTTGAACACCTCCAGGGATGGTGCCTCAACCACCTCCCTGGGCAGCCCATTCCAATGGCTGAGAACCCTTTCAGTGAAAAATTTTTTCCTAATATCCAGCCTGAAAAGCCATTAAACAGTATCAACTCATGAGCTGGGCTTTGGTCATAATTCCGGGATCTGAATACTGGTTTTCCCCCATTATTAGTGGATTTCTCAGACACAACACAGCTTTTGAGTAATATTAAGGGTGGGGAGGGGAATAATTACTTGGAAGCTGGCATGCTTCCCTAAAACTTGTTATTTAGCTGGCTGATAAAATGCTGCTTTTTTGTTACTCACTGTAATTCTTTTTTTTAAAATTATTATTATTCTAAATGCTTTTTATTCGTTTCCTCCAGTTTTCCTTAATTATTTTTCTCCCTGTCACTGCTCCTTCCCTCTCCTCTGTTTTTCTCTGCATTCTTTTTCTCCTCTTCTAAACTGCGCTTTTAAATAAAGAGCGGTCACTAAAACAATTGCAATTTCAGAGAAAAAACGTATCTGACCATCTATTTTTTTTCCTTTCTCTCTCTCTGTGCACAGGAGATCTGTGTGGTTCGCTTCACCCCCGTGACTGAGGAGGATCAGATCTCCTACGCGCTGCTCTTTGCCTATTTCAGCAGCAGGAAACGCTACGGCGTGGCGGCCAATAACATGAAGCAAGTGAAAGATTTGTACCTCATCCCTTTAGGTTCCTCAGATAAAGTCCCACATCATCTTGTGCCTTTCGACGGGCCCGGTAAGTACAACTTGGAATGTGGAGCTCAGTTATCAGAAGTTTACAAACAGAAATATAAGAGAAAGTTAAATTGAAAGCCGCCGGCTGTTCTGTTTAAACACACTGTGAGTTTTCCGTGGTGTTAATTAGCTTCCTTGAAAAGACCTCAACTCCCCATTATAAGGTTATTTTGATACTCTAAAATACTGTTGTCAAAAAAATTAGGGTGTGTAACTTTGTTTCATGCATCCTTCCTCTAACTCAGGTGGTGTTGTAGGCTGCCATCTCAGTAAATTCAGTGATGCAAGTCAACGATGACAGTAGTCATACCGAGTTCCAAATTGATACTGTAGCTTTAAAATAGTATTTCTCATTTTTTTGAAATGTACTAATTACTTCTTTCTCAAGTGTTCCAAACTCCCTTAAAAAAAACAAAAAAAAAAAAAAAAACAAAAAAAAGCCAAACATTTGTATTTGTAGTCTTGTGTAGAGCTGGTAAATTTGTTAGAAAATCTTTTACTTTTGGAGAAGTTTATTTTCCAAGACACGTCCCTATTACTTTGTTCTTGAAATGTTCAAAAGTTCCAAAACCCCCTAAAAAAAAAAAAAAAAAAAAAAAAAAGACATAGAAAGTTGAAAAAACAAGTGGGCCAGGAAGAAGAGGTCCCAAAGGGGCTCTCAGTCGTTCTCCTCACACCTGAGTTGTTTTGTAGCAATTTATTTGGGTTGTAAAAATTTGTGGATCTTTCCTTCTTTTGAGATAGTGGAGAGAGGATGAGCTACAACTCGTAATTTTAATTATTTTTTGCAAGAATCTAAATTATACTGAACGAAATCCATGGTGAAGAGATAGCTATTCGTATGCCTTGAAACGCACTGCTTTCCTGGAATGAGGGAAGCATTTTGGAAAGTCACTCTTGGTCAATCTTTGAAGAAGTTAGCAGATAGAAGACTAATACAGGGTTTAAGTTCTGTGTGTTCTCTTACATGACTAGATATTCTATATCTGTCTTGTATTCTGTATTAGGAAGTTGTAGTGGGCGATATGTACACTGCAATTTTAACTTGCAGTGTTTGAAGTAATAATTTTTATGTTGGAAATACATTTATTTTTTTAAATTATTTTAAGTATTGTTTGTTATGTTTAACGATGGAGACTTCAAATGTTAGAAAAGGAGTGCTTTCTATAATATATTGTAAGGGTGTGGGGATTATTTTTGTTAAAGTTATTGCCTTAACCAGAACATAAGACGGTGATAAATTGCTGTTACAATTTTGTACAGGGATTGAAATACATCGACCAAATTTGTTACTGGGATTGATAATTCGGCAGAAAATGAAGAGGCAGATCACTGCTGTTGCCAGTGTCACCAGCAGTTTTGCGGATGAAGCTTCTGAAAGTACCTTGAGTAACCTGCCACCAGAGAAGAAAAGTAAGCCCAGCAAACCTGATGTCTCCCATCACGAGCTGGCGCTAGAAGAAGAGGAGGAAAACGATTTTTTCAATTCCTTCACGACTGTGCTGCACAAGCAGAGAACTAAACCTCAGCAATCTAGTACAGAAGAAGTTCCAGCAGTTATTGAACCACTGGTGGAAAGCAGCAAACACGAACCACCGAAGCCTCTCAGATTCCTTCCCGGAGTCCTGGTTGGATGGGAAAATCAGCCTTCTACACTGGAGCTAGCAAATAAACCATTGCCCGTGGATGACATTCTCCAAAGCCTGTTGGGCACGACGGGGCAGGTGTATGAAGGCAGCAAGTCAGAGACGAGTCCCAGTGAAGACATACCGTTATTAAACGAACAAGCAACCCTAAAAGAAGAAAACATGGATGTTGCTGAGGTATCTACCGAAGTTGGTGAGACAAAGACCGGTTTGGATGACCCACAAGAATCCACTAACGCTCCTGTGACAGTGGATGCAGCAGCTGTAGGGACCTCAAGTTCTGCAAGAAGCACTGGATCTTTGATGGGGCTGAGTCTTAAGGGAAAGCCTCCAGATGTCTCCACAGAAGCGTTTTTAGCAAACTTATCTGCTCAGTCGCAGAACAAAGAAGCTGAAGAAAGCAAAGAGAATGACCCAAAGCGGCAGTTACCCGACAAGGACAGTGTTGCACAGGAGGTTAGAAGGACTGCAAACTCCAGCTTTTCTTCTTCCTCATCAAATGCAGGGAAAAAACCCAATGAGAACAACGGCAACGTAGGCTCTGCTGAAGGTACCGCCGCTAATACCTCTAAATCCCCATTTATTAACCTTAAGAGAGACCCGAGACAGGCAGCTGGACGAAGCCAGCAGACAAATGCTTCGGAAAGCAAGGAGGGAGAGGCCAGCAGAAATGAAGACCAACAGAACGCTCCAGGAACCGACCCGACGGAAGCAGAGAACAACCAGCCTCCTGGAGAAGGAGGGCTCAACCCCTATCAGGGCGACGCGCAAGGCGGCGAGACGCAGTACGGCTCCGCTGCAGCCAAGGGGGACCCCGCGGGGGCATCGCAAGGGGAGGACACCCGGCACTCGCAGGAAGATGCCCTGAGGCAAAACATCGAAACGGTGAACTCGTTCAGAAGAGGACCAGCAGCAGCTTCATCTCATTTCGAAACGGAAAACTCTTCCCGTTCGGAATTTATCTCCAAAGTCCCAAGCCCTGTCACGAGTGGCAGCTTCCCGTCCGTTAGGCCCCCGCCGCAGAATTTCCAGCATCCCAAATCCAACCCGCCTGGATTTCAGTTCCAGGCCCCCGCGCCTCATAACTTCCCTCCACAAAACAACCCCATGTTTGGGTTCCCTCCTCACTTACCGCCTCCGCTCCTCCCTCCTCCCAGCTTTGGCTTTCCTCAAAACCCCATGATGTCCTGGCCACCAGTAGCTCATTTATCAGGTCAGCCGCCGCACTACGCCGGACCCATGGCGCCGGGGCTGCCGGTGCCTCACAAACAATCAAGATTTTTGGGGCCAGAAAATTTTTTTCAGAGTAAAGACAGCAGGAGGCCGGAAAGACGCCACAGCGACCCTTGGGGCAGGCAAGAGCAGCACCTGGAGAGAGGGTTCAGTAGAGGGAAAAACGATCAACACAGACAAAGGTTCTACAGCGATTCCCATCACCAAAAGAAAGACAGACATGAAAAAGAGTGGAACAATGAGAAATACTGGGAGCAAGATGCTGAAAGGAACAGGCGCAGAGACAGAAATCAGGAAAAAGAGAGAGAGAGGAAGAGTAGAGAGGAAGGACAGAGAGACAAAGAGAGATTGCGATCCCCGCACGGCGATAGGGCTGCTGATGGAAAAAGCCCCAGAGAGACTAGAAATCCAGAAAAAAAAACGGAGAAGCCTAAAAGTGAAGAGCAGGCTCATGAAAAGGATAAGGAGAGGGAGAAAAGCAAAGAGAAGCATAGAGAACGAGAAAGTGAAAAGAACAGAGAGAGGCACAGGGACCACAGTGACAGAACTAAAAGCAAAAGGTAAAAAGATGCAGGCAGTCTTCGAAAATCCTATTTAAATAAACTGTTAGAGTAATGTCATAAAACTTTGTATAAAACAAACAAAAAAAAAAGCAGCAGCCTGCTAGGATGGTGCCATCTTTTTTTATTCCGTGTTGGTGTTTTGCAGAAACAAGTCTGTGTTTTGGTACCACTCAATGTACCAATACTCATCCTTTTTTTCATTATACCAACTATCGCTAGAAGTAGGAGTTTAATATTTTTAAAAATTTTACATTGCTGTATATTCAAAATTTTAAAGATTTCTTTTATTAATATGCAATAAAGGCTTAGAAATTTTCTTAGCTGATGAAGTTGGCTTTAGTCAAGTCTGCAATATAGTCGCTGCCTTTGGTAATTTGTGCTCTCTTCTGTTTTAAGATGCTCTGATGATTTTCAAGGTGAATTTCATACAATAACCTTCTTTTTAAATTGCACTGTTTTTAAAGACTGTAGCAAAGCCTCAGAATCTACACACATTACAAGAAAATATAATACTGCTCCGTGGTGTGAAGAGTTGTTTTTTTTTTAAGAAAAAAAAAATATTCAGAGTACAATAAAATAATTCCAAGTGTATTTCATTAGTTTTTCAAGTATTTCCTAAGCATCTGAAGCAGTTTGTGACCAGAAATTGGAAGGCTGAGCTGCTCGAATGTTATTGCTTTAAACTGCACTTGTTTTAATAAGAAAGCATTTTAACCTAAATTCTTGAGAATATGATTTGTAGTAGTAAATTCATTTCTCCCACCATTTTCCGTGCTTCAAAAACTTGAATACCTAAGCTTGTACATTACTTTGTGTTTTGCTATCCTTTTTACTGTAAAATGTAAATATTTTAAGGGATATTTTGATTCTAAAATGATAAAACTTTCTCACATACTGTGTGTGTTTGATTTCATAGGTGTGGAACTGCAGGTGGAATGACTCGAGCAGGCTGGGTTACAGAACCCACCGTTGTTGTACGCGTCTTGGCTCGGTTGTTTCAAGTTTGGGGGGGCCAAAGGGGGGGTAGGTGGGCAGAACTGGGTTTGTCCCATTTGGGACTTCTAGTAAATTGGTATTTTGTAGGGACTGCCATCCACTGATGCAAAAAAAACCAAAAAAAAAACCAACAACAACAAAAAAGAAGCAAACCTGAAAACAAACTAAAATCTCCTGCTTTTGTACTTCTTTAAATACACTGGTCATTTTCTCGAGTCTGTCAGAAACAACAAAAATAGTCCATCGTATAAAGAAAAATGTAGGTTTATTGTTCTGGTTTTCAGTGTTTGGGTTTTCACTTTGAATACCTGACCTTACGTACCGCCATAGCGTTTTGCTCTTTGCTATAGAAAAGCCTCTTTTTTTTTCCAGAAAGGTCTTTCCAGTTTAACAACACACTAACTGGTAGGTTTAATTGTGAATATATTTTAAGGTAAGATGTCATTTGAATACCTTGCAGGTAGAGCTTCATGGTCAAATTGACTAAAATTCACAATCTTGACCTGAATAAAGGGGGCGGTAGACTTTTATTAAGTGATGTTTCTTGGACTCAGGCGAGAAGATTCATTAAAAAAAAAAATCCTCAGATTGTTAGTGTTTAAATGTTTACATCAGGGTTCTTTTAGGCGTAGAAGTGCACCAAAGCATCGTCCTGGTTTGTGGAGTAAGTCTGAAGTCAGCAGCTCTGCTGGTGAAGATTTTCCTCTGACCTGTGCTGAAGGAGTCTGCTCCCGCTCCGCTGGCGATGCCTCTCTCACATTCCCATCCGTTTGTGCCCTAAAAATAAACTGGGAGCAATGAAAATGGCAACTGTCTGTGCGAAAGGAAAGCTTTCACGGAATCACAGAATTGTCAGAGTTGGAAGGGACCTTCTAGAGATCATCCAGCCCAACTGCCCTGCCAAAGCAGGGCTGCCCAGAGCACATCACTCAGGAGCATCCAGGTGGGGCTTGAAGATCTCCAGGGAAGGAGACTCCACACCCTCCCTGGGCAGCCTCTGCCAGGGCTCTGCCACCCTCACCCCATGGAAGTTCTTCCTCAGATTGGAGTGGAACTTCCCATGGTCCAGCTTGTGCCCGTTGCCCCTCGTCCTGTCACTGGGAACCACTGGAAAGAGTCCGGCTCCATCCTCCTTCAACCCACCCTTCAGGTACTTGTAAACTTAGATAAGGTCTCCCCTCAGCCTTCTCTTCTCCAGGCTAAAGAGCCCCAGCTCTCTCAGCCTTTCCTCATCAGGGAGATGCTCCAATCCCTCCATCACCTTTGTTGCCCTACGCTGGACTCTCTCCAGCAGTTCCCTGTCCCTCTTGAACTGGGGAGCCCAGCACTGGAGGCAGGATTCCAGTTGTGGCCTCCCCAGTGCAGAGCAGAGGGGGAGAATGACCTCCCTCGATGCTTTCTGCCAGAACGACCAGAAATAATGTGTCTGGAAAGAATATGTCAATCCTTTCCAAGTTTGCCAAGCGCTTTCCTACCTGCCTTTTCTGTGTAGAACCCAAGGAGAGCCACGGCAGAACGGCTTTTGAGGGAGAGTTATGTTAAGAATTTAAATTAATGAGTGACAGTTTCCAGGATGTGCTCCTAGAAGCTGAGTTAGTGCCATGGGAATAAATCCCAGTGCTGCAGGAATAAAGGATGTTGTCTTCTCCGTTGCCTTCACTCGCCCCCCTCCCACCACTGGTGTGACCTGGAAGCGCTCCCATCACTTGTTCTTTGTCCCACACGGAGTCACTGCTGGGTGCAGTGTGGTGCTGGTGAGGAACTGGCAGTCCACCAGCAGCCCCAGAGAGAACAGGGTAAGCCCTAAACACGCTCCCTTCCCCAGCATCACGTGGCCGTAACAGGCCTTCCCAAGAAGAACTGGAAGAGGAGAAGGACCTGGAGCCAGCTCAAACGCCGAGAGGCCTCTGTGAGCTGCCTGTTGGGAAGAGGGGAAGAAGATCTGTTGTTTCAGGCTGGTTGCTTGAGGGCTCAGAGCAGCTGAAGAGGATAGGAAGAACCTCACGAAGATGTGTGCAGCTGCATCTTACAACATCTCAGGGTAGTTCCATCTCCCACCTCTCCACCACCTGTCTTATCTTCAAGTCACCCGTAACTGAGTGGGCAGGGCATTCGTACTGGTTGTGGTTCTGTGGGCATGAAGGTGTGACACCTGCTTTTACTGTGCTCTGTGGCTGCTGGACGAAGAGACAACAAAAATATATCAGAAATAGGTACTTGTTTCTGATAGGTGCTCACTGAAGACTTGGACTCAGAGAATTTCCATGCACGGAGGGGATGGTTCATTATGTGCTTTTGAGCGGTAGTAAAATAATTAAAAAAAAAGTATAGGAATCAATCTCTTATTTTTATTTAAGTATTTTACTTCTACAGTAAGCCAGCAGTCAAATGAGAAAATGTAGATACCATCATAAGTCATTTGTTTAAGCACATTAAAATATGTCTTGATTTATTTAGTTTTTATTGCTCACGAAAATGTAGGATTATAACTGAGCTTTTTCAGAAGGAAGGGAGTTTTTGCATTTGTATGTGAAGAACTCTATTTATTTTTCGGTTATAAATTAATGAAAAATATAGCGATGGAAATTCAATTTATTGTGGCCCAAACCTTTGTCTAGTAAAATTTCAAAATGTCATTTTAGGGGCATGTAAACCAGAAGGGTTGTGCTAAAGCAAAGCAGTTCTTACGCTTTCTGGTTTTGAAGCTGTTAGCAATGGCAGTTATTTGCCACGTTCCAGTTGTAAATGATTAAACCAACAAGTTTTCATGGACTCAAACAGGGGAGACCTCTGCTGGAGGCAAACAGCAGGCATAGGTTTATATCTGTTCAGTAATCAAGTAAAATGCCTTTTCTGCTCTTAAAATTATTCTTTGTTAAGTGTAATGTTTTAGTGTGAAGACTGGCTTAAGTTCCACACTTTTAGGTAAGAGCATGGGCCATAGACAGAGACACCTCTTCCTTACCTGGAGTTGAGTCTTTGTGGCCTGAAGCAATTACAGCTGCTGTGATTTTTAAAACTCTCATCACAATAAACCTGTGCTTTTTAGCCAAGTAAACCTTTCCTTCCCCCCAGTTTCAGTTTTTACACTTGACCTTAATATTACGAATCAATATTACAAAATTGTAAAAGAGAAGCTCTGTGTTCCGATAGAATGTGAGAGTTTGGGAGACACTCGGGTAAGTTGTCTGTTCTCATAAAGCAAGAAACAACACTGGGCTGACGGTTGGCTTTATCAGCTAATTATTACCCATTTGTCTAACAAAACTATTTCCAACAGAATAAAGAAAAATTTTGCAGAGTTTCACGTTATTTTAAAGTAAATACTAATGAGTATATATAAATAATTATACGAGTACAGCGTCTGCTCACATTTTAGCTACGATACTAATGCTTAACATTTAAAAAAGGAATTGGGAACAATTTTATGAAGTGCTTTCCTGTGTTGGTTCCTGAGTCTTACATTGCCAGTTAACACAAGAAACGGGGGGAAAAGGAAATGAATCACTTTTAAAGAGTCTTAAACAGTTCTTCAATTAATTTCCATCATTTCCATTGTAAACATTATACCCTTCTGCTTTCATTAGCTGAATCTTCTTAGAGTCTTGGAAGAGCACAACATCTTTAATCTTACCAATGAATTCCTTCTGAAAAAGCCCTGTCGTGACTACGTGGACTTCCCTGCCGATTTCAAACCCTCCAAAATAACAAATGCCACCATAGTTTAAAGCAGTGTATTTCCTGTGTGGGTCGATATCTTCAAACACAATTAGCTCCTCGTCGAGATACACCTTAATGCAAGTTTGGTTTTGGACGACAGTGACGAGATGCCACGTCTCATCGCAACAGGCGGAGGGTTTGCTGTCAATCAGAGGAACAGAGATCCTTTCTCCGAGATTCACCACGACTTTTAACGTTCCGTTGGCAAGACCAACAGCAAGGAAATCATTGTCTTCATCTTCACCTTTTCCCATCCACGCTATTAAGCCTTCAGTTTGATTGGTAGTAAAATTTAAGGAAAGGCGGCTGTGCTGGAGGTCTCTCCTTCCATAGTAAGGATCCGTGTATTTGATGTAGGAGTTGCCCACGAACTTTGCTATAAAAAATTGGGTTTTGGTATCGCAGTACTTACCTGACCAGCCCAGTGGGCATATGCAAATGTAAGAAGATGAAGTAGGCTGAGGAATGCAGAGGGCCTGAGCCCCACAGCTGTTCTGTGAGCAGTGAATGGATTGTTCACACGTGCTCCCTGTCCACTCCTGTGGGCAAGAACAAGAAAAGCCCGAGTTTTCGACGTGACACGTCCCGTTGTTTCTGCACACCGCGTACCCACACGCCGTTCCGTCACAGTCGCCCACGTTGGCTCCACCTTTGGGGTCAGCCACGGTGAGCTTCAGCTCCCTGCTGTTTACAACCATTTCTCGTATGCAACCGGTGAAACCTGTGGGTTCATTTTCTACTGCCATTGAGTTAACGAGGTTTAAGGAGGACACCCCTCCGACAAAAAAGTCCGTGTGCGTGTCCAGCGCGTTCATTCCAGGACTGGCTTCTCGAGTCATGTTAACACCATCCAGGTCCAGGTAGCCTTCGTTACCAACTCTTCCTGCTTTGAGTGAATGCCACGTGTCTCCATTGACACGGACCTTCTGAAGGGTCTGCAGGATGACCGTCTCGTCTCCCAGATTGTAGCGTAACTGTATAAATCCATTTACTAATGAGATACATAAAAAGTCACCTGTGAAAAACCAGAATAAAACAGATTTACTTTTTAGAGGCTGCACACGGAAGAAGAGCATGTTCATAATCCTGATGCTTTCATGCCTGTGCTTCCACCGGTTCCACCACCGGGTGTAAGTGACACAAAGGGAAATGGTCCCTGATGAGCTTCTCCTGGCCTTTTTTTTTGTTTTTTTTTCATTATTGGAAACTGAGCTCATGTTTGCCTTCTGAAAAGCTCTGCTTTGGTGCAGAGACTGCGTTGATCGGATTTCTGCTTCCTTCAGTCACCACTGTCACCCTGGAATGTTTTGGCAGCTAGAAACAGCCACCATCCTTGAGCAACCTCAGTTTGCCAGTCTCAGGTTTGGTTGGTTTTCCAGTGGCAAGTGGGTAGTAACAACACTTCATGTGCAACAGATTCCAGTACAACGGGGGGTGTCTGTTTTGTCACACAAACAGCTGACAGCTCTGCTTCCCACACGGCTAATTCAGTCCATGTAAATGATCCCAAAACGAGTAACGAAGCAGAAATGATGTCCCTGCCGGGTAAGGAAACGTGGCTGCCAAGAGAAAAGACTTAACCACTCTAAGTTTCTGTTCTAAAAGGGGGTGGATAATCAGTTTGTTTCTGATTAGGAAAACAATGCTCCTCCCTTGTGGGCTTTTATAGAAATTCTTCTATATATAGAAAAAAATAGAAATTTTTCCAAAAGATTTTAGTTCAATTCCATGATTCGGTTTTCACCATAAACAATGTCTTAGAAAACCACGCGGACATCACGCACCCGTACAGGCTGCCTCTTCTTTTCAGGCTTTAGGTTTTTAAACCAAAATGCCTTAAATAGCAGCAGTTAAATTTCTGAGCATTTTCCGAGCAGGTAGGTAACATAATCCTGTCACAGCCAGACAGAGCCCTGCTGTAGCAGATGTGGAGTATTAAATGTAGCGTGAGTCATCCCATTCTGTTTATTAACCTGACTTCCTTCTTAGTCACCCAGTGTAACTCCTCTTCCTCATCTCATCAGGGAGCAAACCTTTCCATCACTGCTCTGGAGCAGTGCAGACACTGCAGCATATTCCACCTCCACCAACAAATGTAAAGCTTTGGGAATGCTTCCTGGGCATGTTGAGTTTGGACTATTCCACCTCCACCAACAAATGTAAAGCTTCGGGAATGCTTCCTGGGCATGTTTAGTTTGGAGAAGAGGAGGCTGAGGGGAGACCTCATTGCCCTCTACAACTCCCTGAAAGGAGGGTGGAGAGAGGTGGGGGTTGGCCTCTTCTCCCAAGGGAATCATGACAGGAGCAGAGGAAATGGTCTGCAGCTGGGGCAGGGGAGGGTTAAATTAGATCTTGGGAAGAATGACTTTGCTGAGAGGGTGGTCAGGCACTGGAACAGCCTGCCCAGGGAGGTGGTGGAGTCACCACCCCTGGAGGTGTTGAAGAAATGTGTAGATGTGGCACTTCAGGGCATGCTCCAGTGCCCAAGATTGTTGGTTTGTGTCTGTTTGTGGGTTTGGTTTGGGTTTTTTTTGTGGCTGGACTCAATGATCTCAAAGGTGCCTTCCAACCATGAAGATTCTGTGAATGCTATGACTCAACACAAATTTTCGTAGGGGGCTGCAGGAATCAATACTACCAGACTTAAAGTCACGATACCCCTTCAGAAACAGCTGAAAAAGCACGAAAACCAGTGACTGACAGAATTATAGGAAATTGTGCTTAGAGATGAAGATTCATAGGACGTTTTGCCATTCATGCCAATTGGCCAGGCGTTTAAATGTGGGTACTGAAGGAATGACCACGTTAGAGGAGTGGAGGCTGGAACCAGCAGATAACATCCCCGTAAGGAGACTGCCCACCCACCAAGCCACCCTTTCTAGAAATGCAGGTCACATTATCTGGAAAGAACAAAGAGAGAAGGAAAGGTTTCACTGTAAATCTCATGTTAATGCTTTCTGTTGGATGACGGGAGGACTTTTTGGTGGGGGTTTGCCCCCAAAGGGGGAGTCCCACTGTAGCATTTACGTGGGCAACAAGCCACGCCAACGTCTAACTGTGCAGCTGCGAGGTGCTACAACGTGGTGCCATTGCTAAATTAGCTGCATCATCAGAGCTCAATTCCTTTTTTTTTTCTTACCCTAGTGAGGAAAAAAAGTGTTCTAATTATTTCCAATTAAAAGGGAATTTTAGAAAAAAATAATCCTGTGTTTTCGGCAACCAATTTATTAAATGTTACATAACGGTGTAGAAGAAAAGTCTTTATATAAAGTGCTTTCTAAACTAATCCCCTGCAGAAAGCTCTTTCACATCTGCTGGCTGCTAAGAATACTTCTGAGTCTTTCATCAGTCTAATTCTGTCTGGATTTGACAGGATTATATGAAGGCAAAAATAAACAGCTAGACGATTGGCTTTTCCTAAACCTTTCAGAACTTCAGGACAGTGAAAGTAGGAGTAGGAAAGTTGTAAAGAAATTAAACTACTCTATAAACGACAGTTTTTGTTTTGAAATGAAATTGATATGATTCTAGAAAGTGATTTAAAGAAAACATCCCTTCCTGTGGAAATTAAATGTTTAGGAATGGCAATAGAATGAGGACATGCTCATGCTGAACCACTCTTTGTCCAAGTCAAACAGACTTAGCCCTCTCCTTGGTGCTTCCAAAGAGATTTTTAATTTCTTTATATGCTCGCTGCTGCCATCACCTCTGACTGCTCTTTTGAGAGAGATCCTTTTTTCTCTTCTATTTTTCATGGCCCACGTAATGCTTTAGTTTATACAGGAGAGAACTCTTCACTGAGAATCTCAGAATTTGGCCTGTAAGTGACAGAATTATGGCAGATTCATTGTAGAAGACAAGAGTTCTTTGCAGATGAATGTATTTGTATTACTCATGTTCCATATATTGTTCTTTGAAGCTGCTTCTCCATATGTGGTCATGATTAGAAAAAGGCAAGGAGGAGGTGCCAGCCGTGTATGATGGATTTTCAGTCTTACTGAACAGCAAACTGGTAAAATGTCTATTTACAGAATAAGAAGGTGGTAAATTTGGCTGATATATGTTTAGAACCGTGGTTGGCTGAAGGTGTCTATAGAAATGCCTCAAAGCTCTACGTTTTGAAGAAAGGTGAGTGAAAATCCATGACAAATAGTTCAGTGCTTTTTTTTTTTGTCCTATGAAGACCCATTTTTGCAGAATGGAAAATCTGCTCTAAGATCACGGTATGAATGATACATAATGCTTCTGTCTAAAAGCCTGCGAGACACCACGTAAATGCAATATAAAGATGAAGGATGTTAACAAAATCCTTACAAAAAATTTACACCTTTGAGAGAACATTTTAAAAAGCATTTAAACTGGTTGGCAAATTATGCTTTCTTTCCATGAAGTTTTAGGAATGCTAATATGGTAAAATTTAAAATACTTTTCTAAAAAGTGGAAAAATTTTATTTCGTTACATAACGGTGTAGAAGAAAAGTCTTTATATAAAGTGCTTTCTAAATTAATCCCCTGCAGAAAGCTCTTTCACATCTGCTGGCTGCTAAGAATACTTCTGAGTCTTTCATCAGTCTAATTCTGTCTGGATTTGACAGGATTATATGAAGGCAAAAATAAACAGCTAGACGATTGGCTTTTCCTAAACCTTTCAGAACTTCAGGACAGTGAAAGTAGGAGTAGGAAAGTTGTAAAGAAATTAAACTACTCTATAAACGACAGTTTTTGTTTTGAAATGAAATTGATATGATTCTAGAAAGTGATTTAAAGAAAACATCCCTTCCTGTGGAAATTAAATGTTTAGGAATGGCAATAGAATGAGGACATGCTCATGCTGAACCACTCTTTGTCCAAGTCAAACAGACTTAGCCCTCTCCTTGGTGCTTCCAAAGAGATTTTTAATTTCTTTATATGCTCGCTGCTGCCATCACCTCTGACTGCTCTTTTGAGAGAGATCCTTTTTTCTCTTCTATTTTTCATGGCCCACGTAATGCTTTAGTTTATACAGGAGAGAACTCTTCACTGAGAATCTCAGAATTTGGCCTGTAAGTGACAGAATTATGGCAGATTCATTGTAGAAGACAAGAGTTCTTTGCAGATGAATGTATTTGTATTACTCATGTTCCATATATTGTTCTTTGAAGCTGCTTCTCCATATGTGGTCATGATTAGAAAAAGGCAAGGAGGAGGTGCCAGCCGTGTATGATGGATTTTCAGTCTTACTGAACAGCAAACTGGTAAAATGTCTATTTACAGAATAAGAAGGTGGTAAATTTGGCTGATATATGTTTAGAACCGTGGTTGGCTGAAGGTGTCTATAGAAATGCCTCAAAGCTCTACGTTTTGAAGAAAGGTGAGTGAAAATCCATGACAAATAGTTCAGTGCTTTTTTTTTTTGTCCTATGAAGACCCATTTTTGCAGAATGGAAAATCTGCTCTAAGATCACGGTATGAATGATACATAATGCTTCTGTCTAAAAGCCTGCGAGACACCACGTAAATGCAATATAAAGATGAAGGATGTTAACAAAATCATTACAAAAAATTTACACCTTTGAGAGAACATTTTAAAAAGCATTTAAACTGGTTGGCAAATTATGCTTTCTTTCCATGAAGTTTTAGGAATGCTAATATGGTAAAATTTAAAATACTTTTCTAAAAAGTGGAAAAATTTTATTTCCATTTGTTTTTTCATTCTGCATGACCCGTTGCACACAGAACCCGCATGCTCTGCGTGCGGCACCAGCTGGCTTTGCAGCACATCTTCACTTCCACTCAACTTTCCATTTGTTTTTTCATTCTGCATGACCCGTCGCGCGCAGAACCCGCATGCTCTGCGTGCGGCACCCGCCGGCTTCGCAGCACATCTTCACTTCCACTGAACTGGTTTTTTTACATGGCTTTATTTTTGGTCATTTTAAACCACTGGGCCAAACCCCAGGAGTGTGAATCCTGGAGTAGCTGTGCTGCCACTGGGCCAAACCCCAGGAGTGTGAATCCCGGAGTAGCTGTGCCGAGGCTGAGGGAGCACTGCCGGGAAGGGGGTGCAGTTACTGCTCAGGGGAAAATACTTTTCCTGAACCCCTTCATTAAATACTCGCTGGCTGTGGACTAATCCTAAATTTTGTTATGCATGTTTCCTCCTGTGAACTCCATTATTCACAGTTCAAAACCCAGTCACCATGGACAATGAGTTACAGAGACTGGAGGCCTGAATTGCTTGAAGGCCCTGCCTTTCTGTTTCAAAAGAGCCCCTGGTTGTGGGATGGGGGCAAAGGGGCACGTCCTTACCCGAGTGAGCAGCCAAACGCTGCGCCGTGTAGAACAGGATCCCGTCTGCAGAGAGGGGCTGGAACTGCAGTCTGAGGTGGGTCTTCTGCCGGATGTAAAAGGGTGCAAATGACATCCACGACGACTCACTGCTTCTGAAAGATGGATCACTAATGGAAATATCTGGAAAACACAAGAGGAAATGGCTCCTGAAAGGTATTTTGAGAGGACTGCGTTATTATGGCACCAGTTGTCTACAGTTATTTTGTGTAGTTTGTGAGGAGGGTTGTGATGAGCAGCTGCTTTTGTCATTTTGGAAAGCAATGACAAATACGGCTGCGTGGAAATCTTCACATTGAGATCCAATTGGCTTAAGGTTGCAGCTCAAAGATAACTAATATTGCATTGGAATTTTTTTTTTTTCCTATGGATATATTAGGAAAAACTGAAAAAAAATTATTTACACCTTATCTAAATGGAAATGTATTTTTCTGCTGAATTATCACTTTTTATTTAGTCTAATAATTCATGTATAGAAAAAAAAAGTCTAGCTAAACTTCCACTTTAGTGCAGTAAGAAGTAGAGTATGTTGACTCAAGTATTGATTATTAACACAACTTGAATAGAATGGTTAGAACAATGTGCTTAAGGAAGTTGTAATTTTGCTAGACCCACAGCCATCAGTAATCCTTGCTGTCCCTGAGGGGGAGGGACTGAGGCAATCATTATTCTGAGCAATCAAAAAAAAAAAAAAAAAATTACAATTTTGTAAGGGGAGTCTACAGTTCTGTTTGGTTTTGTTGCAGTGGAGTTGTAATCTCTACAGCTGGCTAATTGGAGAGCTAATTAGCTAAGAAGTAACATCTAGGAGCATATGGCTAAATCCCTAAAGAGATCTCTGGTTTTCCAAAGCCTAAAATAGCTGTTACTAGCCAAAGTCAAAACAGCAGACCTCAGTCTTTCAGTGTGACACATATTAAGAGCTGAATGCCTAGGAGTAAGCCGTGTCAGCCAAAAACTGTCCTGCGAGAGGCTGGGAAACCTCAGTACCAGGAAAGCAATTGGACCAGAAATCTGAACTTGATTCTCCTGCATCTGAGGATGTGGATATTCTAGCCAGGGTTTGGATAATTTCTTCTGTCCAGTGAATATTTCAGTAAACAAAAATTTCCCAGAAGAGATCAGGTGATAGAGGAAAAAAAAGAAAACCTTACATACCCAATTATTATATTCTTTGAGGATGTGGTGGATATGGGTTTGAGTATTTGCACCATGATAGTGACAATTAATGCTTAATCACGAGGCAATTAGGAAAACATGATACAAAAAAAAAAAATCTGCAAATTGCTAATCCATACCTGGCTTTGGTGGTAAACTCATTCTAGTTTATATTGCTATTTTGTACTGAAATGCTCTAAAGATGCTTTCAAGATTAAACCTGCAAGAAAAAACCACCCAACTCTGAGATTCCCTGGCTGGGACCATTTCTGGACTGGGAGCCTAAAGACTGGGGTGTTGAGTATCTCACTGAAGGCTGATAAAGGAATTGGTAATGAATTAAGTACCTAAAAGTTTGTTAATGTAGTTTCAAATTGAGATCTTCACTTACTCATATCTTGGACTGGATTTAGTCTGACAACAATGAAAGTGTGCTTTGGGGAGGACTGGAGCATAAGCGAGCTGGTATTCTGCATCTTGTAATTAAATCAGGGGAACAGATTACTATATAATCAGAGGGATTAATTTTGGCATTGAGAAACATATATTTAGCTGTCTCCACACACTATTTATAGGCATGAAAATACTCATTATGGTCAACTCTGACATAAGATAGGATTCAGCTGCTTAAATGTGCTTGTCACTTGCCACTGAGATGCTTGAGCATATCCAGGCCACCCACACGGGCTCGGCTGGTGGGACAATGAACACGGGACCTGCTGCATTTGGCAACTGGAAGCCATGAGGGACACATGGCAGCGAGTAGCCAGGGGCTATTTTCAGGCAATTGGATAGCACCACCATGCAGCACAGTCACCACAGCTAGGAAGAGGGTCACCTTATCCTGAAGCAGCCTCCTCCAGGGCTCCATTGAGGTTCCTAAATGTAGGTCCCTATTGTTATTTTTTTCATGACCTCTATCGCCTTAACTTCATGTGCCATTCCAGGTGTCCAACAGGTCTTGTACCATCTTTGTGAACCCTGTCTGGATGCTTTCAGACACCTTCATGTGCCATTCCAGGTGTCCAACAGGTCTTGTACCATCTTTGTGAACCCTGTCTGGATGCTTTCAGACACCTTCATGTGCCATTCCAGGTGTCCAACAGGTCTTGTACCATATCTGTGAACCCTGTCTGGATGCTTTCAGACACCTTCATGTGCCATTCCAGGTGTCCAACAGGTCTTGTACCATCTTTGTGAACCCTGTCTGGATGCTTTCGGACACACGTTTGAACGCCGGAGCGTCTCAAACAGCACTAAGCATCTCCATTTAGAGAAACTGAACAGCAAAATAGCTTCACTGACTCTATTGACTAGATGTTCATCAGCCATAATGGAAACTTTTATATTGAACTCACATGGAGATACTTAAATCTAGGTGCCATTCCTTTAAAACCTGTTCCTACCCTTGACACAGCTTCTAACTCCAAACACCTTCACAAAGTAAGATGATGCGTATATTTTCAGCAAATTATTCATGCTTATAGAGAAGCCTGAAAATAATTCCATTAGAGAAACTGAACAGCAAAATAGCTTCACTGACTCTATTGACTAGATGTTCATCAGCCATAATGGAAACTTTTATATTGAACTCACATGGAGATACTTAAATCTAGGTGCCATTCCTTTAAAACCTGTTCCTACCTTGACACAGCTTCTAACTCCAAACACCTTCACAAAGTAAGATGACTCGCATATTTTCAGCAAATTATTCATGCTTATAGAGAAGTCTGAAAATAATTCCAGCGCCAATTCCAGCTGGTTGTATCTCGTTTTTAATCACTTGGGTAACTGGAGTGAATGGTAAGTGCATGACTGAAATTGGATGGGGACATCATGTCCCCCATGGCTGGCCTGGTGTGGAGGGCGTTACTGTGGTACCACACACCACTTCCTTCACTTCCTCATGCATGGCTTCTGCTTGAATTTATCTAAAATAAAGCCATGGCACGTACTGAAGTAGTCAACTCACTTCATTCTACTTGACATTTTAAATTATACAGATAAATATTAAAAATGCATGTTTTCTTGTGCCTACCATGAATATTGAGTTTACTGGACTGTCACTGATAAATCTCAAAGTTTAGATTGCTTTTTAGGTAAAACTGTAACAGCACCTTCTATCCTTATAGGACATGGCTGCTATGGCTACTATTTAAAGATTTTTCTCATGTTTCTCAAGGTTTCAGCAAAGAAAGCAGGAAGCTCAATGGGACCAGGGCTGCTTAAATAACTCAGAGAACACAATAGCGAACACAACTCAAAACAACCAGCGAATAAGTGCCTGCAGTTGTCCTTTAAATGGTTAAACATAACACCACAGTTTTCCAGATAATAACTACTAAATAGTTTGGGCATTGTTTTCCAGATAATAACTACTAAATAGTTTGTGCATTAAGTCATCAAGTCTAACTGCGTTGTCAGACAAATCCAACACGTGTGCATGCACGTATGTGTGCTCGAGTGTGTCTACTTAAGGTGTCTTGCTGTCTAAAAATCTTGAGTTAAATCATACTGTGAATTAATTTGTCCTACAACAGAAGTCAAAATATGTCAAGTAACACTCTAGACTATGTAGAAAGAAAAAGATCTTAACAGTAAAAATTATTCCAAAAGTCAGTGTCTTCTATTTTTCGTTCATTCATTTATGACTATGACGATGGATTAAATAGTTAGAGATTTGTCGTTACTTTTTTTTTCTTTTCTGTCAGTTTATCAGGTATTTTCAAAAATTTGCTGTATTTTTGTATCAGAATAATGGTATTTGTCATCAGAATAATAACTAGAGAGTTGACTTGAGCTGGTAAAAGGCCAAAGGAAGTTGCTTGCCGTTTGTTCATCAAGGAAATGGCTTTATTGCTTGACAAGTATCTCACTAAATAGAGGAGAGAATGATGAAAAGCTCTTCACATTTGCTTTCTTTACTTTGCGCGCTGTACGTTGACAGGTAGTATTTGTAGCTATGGAATTTGCAGACTAATGTATAGTTGAAGAAACCTATTTATTAACTTTTTCTTTGTGGAAAGGTTAGTAGCATTCCATTGTGATGCCTTGAAGTCAAGAAAAATTATTTTAATAGATTTTATGAAAGTATATGGCACAAAGTAATCCTGCTGAAGAAAACTGCTGAATAATTTAAAATTTATAGAAATATTGTGATAAAAACCGTGCTTATTTTAGCTACTGGCAATTCTTCTCCAATACTGCCATCTACAGAATCTTTCAAATATTACATTGCTGTCCCCTTAAATGAGAATATTATCAGGTCGGTGAAATCTCATAATTAACTAATCTGAAATTATAGGTCTTCTTCATTCCTCTGCAAAATTTACTAAATTTTCTAGGCTATAAATTTCATATGCTTAGTTGCAGAGTCACAGAATGGTAGGGGTTGGAAGGGACCTCTGGAGATCATCTGGTCCAATCCCACTGCCAGAGCAAGTTCACCTAGAGCGAGCTGGACCGGAACGCATCCAGGCAAGTTTTGAATGCCTCCAGAGAAGGAGACTCCACACCCTCATGGTTAGATGGCACTTCCTGTGTTCCACCTTGTTCCTATGTTGCCCCTTGTCCTGTCACTGGGAACCACTGAAAAGAGCCTGGCCCCATCCTCTTGACACCCACCCTTTAGGCATCTATAAACATTATTAAGATCCCCTCTCAGTTTTGTCTTCTCAAGGCTAAAAAGACACAGGTCTCTCAGCATTTGATTATATTTTAGCTTGTTTACATCAGTGTATCTCCAGAAACTTAACACACTTGAAGAACCATCCTGTCTTATGACCATTAATGGGTTTGGACAACACAGTACACCTAAGAAGTGGAGCTTTAAATTATTCTAAAATTAGTATATTACTCTGTCTTGCTTGGCAAGGTTTTCTTTCTTGGACCCATTCAGATCTAATTTCCAACTCTCTCCTGTCTTCCTATTGCTACTTATGGATACTTGCCTTTCCAAAGTAGGTCTTAAATTTCATAGGCATCTTCCTACTGCACTTCAGCCACCAGTGTGCTGTCTACCTGTGAGTTCAGCCCATATGAGCCATTCAAACTATGTTCTTTAACTGATCTTGCTCTCCCTGCCTTTACTCTTGTTCTTAGTTTTGCAGCTGCTGAACACTTGGTAGTGCAGCTCCAACTCCTACAGCTTAATCATAATGCACCCCATGTGTGTGCTGACAGCCTTTCCATCCTTGGTGGTTTCAGCTCCTGCTCTAAGCAAGACACATCACATCGCTCTTTAGCACTGATGTCCTCATCTGCACACATGCTTTTGTTTCTCGTGTATATAGTTCATGAAGAACCACAAGCATTTTTAGTTTTTTCTAGGCAAATTAGTGGTCAGTATTCTTCCTTATTACTGTGGTTCTACCTCTACGGCCCCATTTATTCATTTTACCTGCCTTGTTCTCGTGCAATCCATACTGTTGTACTGTACTTACCAGTTGCTATTATTTGGTAAATCCCTATTTGTTCTTAGTCTTTGTTACTCTCCTGTGCTTTTTTTGCCTCATAAATCTCTTCTGTCTTTTTCTCACACTTCTTTCCTTCTTTCTTGTACATTCATTAGTCTTCATCATTTAATTTCCCTTTGTTCTCTCCTGGTCCCTTGGGCTGTTCATTGCTCTCTGTCTCTTTTTCTTTTGACTCCAATAACCACCATCAATCCAGAGATGAGATATTCAATCTTGATAAGCAGCTGCTTTTTAGCAATTTGCCATCCACTAGAAGTGCAAACTGCGCTTTGAAAAATCTCACGATAATTAATTATTCTGCCAGAGTAAGGTGAAAAGCAGGGCAAAGAGTTTGGTCAGGACCCAGAGTCCCTATTCATAAAAAGAAAGCTTTTAAATAAAACAGAGAGAAGCCCTCTAATGCGTTTACCAGGAGGAGAAATTACTAAAAGGATGACGATCTACAAGAAATAAAATTTTCTGTTGCTCAGATTTAAGCTATTTGTACTGGTAATAGTGGCCATCACAAATCTCTTCTGAAACCAGAACACAGGACTGTTCATTTGATTAATTATCTGTTTTATGTGCGCATGTCTTGGTGATCAGTGTCCTGAATCCAGATGGCATTACTTTTGAAAACCTCACTTGAAATGAGAATTCAAAATTGAAGAGTTCATATAAAGAGCCCTTAAAAGCTGTTGTAGCAGAGGCAATAGAGCAAGCACATTCTTACATGGAATAAAGAAGGGCTGGAAGGGACCTCTTGGAGATCATCTAGTCCAACCCCCTGCCAAAGCAGGTCCACCCAGAGCAGGTCCCACAGGAACTTGTCCAGGTGGGTCTGAATGTCTCCAGAGAAGGAGACTCCACCACCTCCCTGGGCAGCCTCTTCCAGGGCTCTGCCACCCTCAAAGGAAAGAAGTTCCTCCTCATGTTTAGGTGGAACTTCTTATACTCAAGTTTGTGCCCATTTCCTCTTGTCCTGTCCCTGGGCACCACTGAAAAAAGACTGGTCCCATCCTCATGAATTTGGTTGAATGATTTGAAAAAACTGAAGAAACATATGATGTTAAAAAGAAGCAGGGTCAGAAAGCACTATCTAATGATTCATGGCTTTACACTGAAAAAAGACCAGCCCCATCCTCATGAATTTGGTTGAACGATTTGAAAAAACTGAAGAAACATATGGTGTTAAAAAGAAGCAGGGTCAGAAAACACTATCTAATGATTCATGGCTTTAAATTACTTGGTTTTTCTAACAGAAAGGAGCACCACTTTTTAAAAACAAAATGTATTTTGTAGGTTGTGTCTCTATGTCACATTTCATGGATATATTACGAAATACTGTGCATTATCATATGTCACATTTCATGGATATATTACGAAATACTGTGTTTTTCTGCCCGAGCATTATCTCATAACTGTATGTCTGGTGTAATATCCGTTTGCCATACCTTGTTCACAGTAGGTGCCGGTTGTTCCAAGAGGACAGTGACACGTGTAGCCCTCGGGCAGTGGCACACAGGTACCACCTTGCTTACAGAGGTGTGGGGGATCGTGCTCTGGCTCACAGACCGACACCGTTTCTGTGCAAAATGCACCTTTCCACCCAGTGAGGCAGTCACAGCTACGGCAGGCAGGCGAAAGGAAAGAATGCGACATCATTACCAAGAGAAAACAAATGTCAGTAGCAATATAATCAAGATTTTCCAAGTGTGGATGCATATAAAGAAGCTTCTAGCATTTTTTTTTCTGTTTTGCTCTGCAAATAACTCAAAAAGGCCTTGGTTTCCTAAACTAGGAGTCGTCAAAGTGGCCATTAAAAGGAAAAGGAAAGCACTGAAGAGCATTCATAAAGATAAAAAGAAGTGTCAGTATAAGGGAACTGCTAACAATTGCAAATTTCAGCTATTGACAGGAGTCTGTCAGCAGCTGCCTTTCACATAGACATCGTTGATTTGTTAAATTCTTGTAAGTGGTGCATTAGGGGTTGGTGAGGATGGAAAAGAGGATAGTGGATCTGACCATGAAAGAGGTGGCAATCTGGTGTAATGGTTGTAAATCTATGCCCTAAGCAAATTTTCTAAACTGACTGAATCATTGGACTTGTTAGTGTCCACTACTCTTTATGCCTTTCTTTCATCCAGGCCAGGAGAATATAATAAAAAAAAAAATCACCACTAACCTCTAAATTTAAAATTAGTGTGAATTCCATAGAAATTCTTAAATACAGAATACACTTGGCATTGATGTTAAAATTCCCTCCTTACTAGAAAGAAAAAGTTTCAAAATAGTTAAAACAAAACATTAGACCTATTTTTATTTTAGAATTTAATGACACTTGATGAAAAAATGATGAAAAAATTGTTCCCCTGAATAAAAGCACTTATTGGTTTTTCCCTGGAAGTTTTCTCTCTCAGGGCTCAGAATGAAACTTCATAGATTTTGATTGATTCTTATTTCATGTCTTTTTATGTATGTGCAAAATCTTGCCTTTTTCTTCAAACTCACTTTTTCCATTCATCAGCCTGCTATTTCCAGGCAAAACATAATGAGGAGTCTGTGAAACTCTGCTGTTTCACCAAACCTTCAGCTCAGACAACAACATGTAAAGAAAGCCCAGAAAGTTCCAGGTGACAAACAGCTATCTGGAATGAGGCAAAAAAGGGGACAGAACCTTGCAAAAGCCAAAGCACCTCAATTCATCAAAGACGGCATCAGAATGCTTTCTGCCTCACTAGAAATGTTCTGCTTTGATGCATGAAAGCTTCTGAGAAGGGGAAGGAATTTAACTCCCTGAGTGGAAACAGAAATGTCCACTTCTTGGGCTAAGAAGGAGGTGTTTGGAGCTGAAGCTACTGCTGTTGGGCAGCATATACAAAGGTTCTCCCCCTTCCCCTTGCTTGTGTCTGCAGGTGTCTGTTTAATTGTCTTTTAATTCTTGCCTTTTAGGACATGTTAAGTTTTGAAACGAGTTGAAAATTATTTGCACAGAGCTGAACTTGCCTTTTAGGACATGTTAAGTTTTGAAATGAGTTGAAAATTATTTGCACATTTGCTGTGGCCTACAGTGGCAAAGGTCTATGAACGAATGCAATCTCTTCTACTTTCTTTAAAAAGTTCTCCAGGAAGTGTGCTAAAATCATAGAATCACCAAATCATTCAGGTTGGAAAAGACCCTTGGGATCATTGAGTCCAACCATCAACCCTACTCTACAAAGTCCTCCCCTACACCATACCCCCCAACACCACATCTAAACAACTCTTAAACACATCCAGGGATGGTGACTCAACCACCTCCCTGGGCAGCCTATTCCAGTCTCTGACCACTCTTTCTGTGAAAAATTTTTTCCTAATGTTGAGTCTAAACCTACCCTGTTGGAGCTTGAAGCCGTTCCCTCTTGTTCTGTCACTAATCACCTGCGAGAAGAGACCAGCACCATCCTCTCTACAATGTCCTTTCAAGTAGCTGTAGAGAGTGATGAGGTTTGATTTTATTAATGTAACATTAAAATTCTCTGTGTAACTGAATAAACCCTTCAGCAGTTTTCTTTCTTTCTGTCTAATGAGATGACAGGCTCCTGGAGACTTTTGTTGTCAAGACACCGTATCACCATAGTTATTAGTCTAGAGATCACACTATGCTGTAGTCTACAGAAAAAAACCAACTTACTAGACAGTAGAGCCACTTTCTATGCACTTGCCACCATTTCTGCATTTTATTAAGCTGCATGGGGAATCTTTACATTGTCCAACACTACGACCAGAATTGGGATGACCTTCTGGAGTCCCTGGCGATTTAAACTCTTGATTCATGCTGCTGCGAACTTGAACATCAAAAATGCAACCTCAAAAGTAGAAAGAAAAAATAAATGAAGTTTAGAACAGATACAGGGAGTCAAAATGAACCAAACAACAGGACAATGTCAACCTGAATGAATGGGTCCCACCAGAACGTCTTCAATGGATGGGCAACCATACCATCTACGTGAGCTAAAGGTACGCTGGCTATTTTCTGTTCAGCAAAATGAGTGGGTGATTTAAAGTCCCTTCATTTAATGAGAGGTAAAACAACAGAAATCACGTCATAAGGAATAGACAGAATACAAAGTCAGTGACTAGGTGCAATTTTGTGTTTACACATGCATGCTCTTACAAGACTGCATCCATAACAGATAAAAGTGGTCAAAAAAAATCCAGAAAAACAGGATAATAGACAAAAAGAAGTCTAATTAATGCAAAATATGCAAGAATCCAGAGAACACTGACTAATAAATCTAGGCAGGGAATGTGGACTTGAATTTCCTTAAGCTAAAAAGAACCATTTTAGGGAAAGACCCAGGTATTCCCCTTCTTAAGTGAGTACTTCTGTCCCTGGTACATATAGATCACACTGCACATGACCACATTTTAAAGTAGATTTACACTGCTCTTTTAGGCCCTTAATCTCAGAAAATAATTCAGAAGTTCAATGTATACTAGTAAGGTAAACACTTCTGGGGCCTGTTATTTAGTCCTGTGGGCAAGTGACCTGGTGTAGTCATGATTATATTACCAAACTTCTATTACTTTCCAGAACAGTGTAGCTGCATCCAGGCTACTGATGGGAAACGATCCCTAGATTATGTTCAGTCTCTAAATACACCAAAGACTTGTTTGAAAAAAACTACAGCTGTCACAGACCAAATATTTGTCAGGGACCACTGTAAGAATTTATTTGTAGAGATGATGGAGTGCCAGTGCTTGGATCTATGTCTTGACATTCTTTTAATTTGCCAATACGTCGACTTCGAAGTGAAAAGAGGAGCTGAAGCTTCAGAGTAAAGCAGAGATGTCCCCTCCTTGCTACCTTCAGGCAGCTCCTGCTTAGCCTGTGGGCTTTCTGGGGATTGCATCTACCTGAACACCCAAAAGTGATTCAGAGTCACATTTAAAGGCAGCCTTAAGCACTTCTGAAATGTCGTGCAGATCTAGACATAAATATGTAAAATTTTAAACCAAAAAATCAGGTTTTAAACCACTTTAGTTAAACCAGTACAGTAATGCGTTTGGAAATGCTTATACCTTTCTAAACCTGATTTATACAATTTAGCTGAGACCCAGTGAATTCCCACAGCGCTTGAAATGGTGAGAATAGGAGGTATTCAGCGCTGGGTGTCAGAGGCTCTCTGCCTAACTGTAAGAGTGGGGAAAGAACACGATATGGAGATTGCAAGTAAGCATCACGCTGTTTTTTTTAAAAATCCCTTAATATAAGGTTTTGCCTGATTCACTGAAATCACCAAGATAAAGACTTGCACCTGAAAGACACAATGAATGCCCAATTGCAAAATTCTTTTTATAAACACACAATTTGTTTTAAACAACATAGGAGTAATAATTATAGCAAGATAACTATCTTAACTACTGTTAGAACACTGTTAGTAAAAGCAGCTTTCTTTGACAGGCATTTTTCAATATCACACCCATTTTTGTAGTAGTTCTGTTTATATCGACACATAACTGGTAATTCAAAAGCTTATATTAAGCAATTTAAAATAGGTGGGGGTTGGCCCCCAAGGGAATAATGACAGGAGCAGAGGGAATGCTCTGAAGTTGGGGCAGGGGGAGGGTTAGATTAGATCTGAGGAAGAATGACTTTGCTGAGAGGGTGGTCAGGCACTGGAACAGCCTGCCCAGGGAGGTGGTGGAGTCACCAGCCCTGGAGGTGTTTAAGAAACATGTAGATGTGGCACTTCAGGGCATTGTTTTGGGTTTTTTTTCTGTGTGTGTGTGTGTGTGGTTGGACTTGGTGATTTCAGAGGTCCCTTCCAACCATGAAGATTGTGTGATTCTTGTGTGCGAAAAATAACCTAGTTTGATGCTTATTTGCAATCTTCACATTATTGCTTCTTTGCTTTTAACAGTGTTGGGTTTTAGGCCATCATATGCCCAGTAAATCCTAACTAATGTTTCATCTGTTCATCAGTAGCAAATAGAGCATGTTCTGTTCTCCTGACTCTGCTGGAGTGCTAAGAGAAAGCCACCCAGAGCTCTGTGCAACCACAGGAAAGCACAGCGAGTACCCAGGAACCACTAAGGTCATCGTGGAAAATAAACTGGCATTGGTGTCGACTACAAGTTTAACTCTACCAGCAGAAGATGTAGGTTAGAAACAGTTTTCAAGCACTCATAAACAAAGCTTATAGTAGGTACCAGGGTGTTTTGGCCCAGCTTTATGAGTGAGTAAATTTTTCATTTAGTTTTCTTATTTCTTCTTAATTCTCAGTCAGTGGGATGCAGATGAAGCAGAGCAGCAATTTGAGCCTGGCGTGGCAAGCGCTGTAAAACCTTCTGCAGGGGGATCAGCTGATGAATGCTCCTTTCTGACCTGAATTCCCTTTGCTCTGCCAGTTCTGGGCCTCTTTTAAGAAACTGCCAACTCTTCTGAATAGTAAAGAGGTTTTTCTGACAGCGCGAAGTTTGCAAGAGGAGCTCCAAAGAAGTTTCTGAATTTGTGAGTTAAACTTTGATGCAAGCAAACTGAAATCATATGCAACAGGACAGTGCATCTACAGAGGATATACTACCTTTTTGTTTGTAATCTTTTGTCTGATGACCCCTTAGACCACACTTAGAGATTTCTGCCAATGACTTTTTTTTTTTGCTTTAATTTTAATTTATAGCTTTCACCCCAGTCAGGCAGAGCTCCCAAAGAGGCATCAACAATGGATTAATGAAACTTCAGAAATTATAATAAAAGATACGTCATCATTAGTCAGCTTTATTTTTTTCTTTTTAGATATGATTATCACACAAAATATGTTTTCAAAAATTTCTCAGTCTCCCTTACCTGCCCATAAACACTTGGTACCAATTCAACTAAAAATTACACAAAGCAAGCATTTTTGAGACGCGCTAAAAGTTCAGCAAGAGAGCTGACAGAAATAGCTACATAGATAAACTGTGGTGCAGCACTGACTTTACACATTTCTAAAATTCTATCTGTCCTAGAGTGCTTTGCTTTTTCCCTGTTTTTCTTGACTGCTTGTGAGCTGTGGGGTGTCTGTCCAGAGGAGCTGCTGGCCCTCCCAGCAGCCAGCCAGTGCTGCAAGAGGCAACGCTGATTAAATGCTGATTAAAAACTCCCTTCTGTGACACGTGTGACACAGGAACATAAAGATAAAGCAGTTTTTACCCTGGCAGGTTTGCAACGTGTGCTTATTATGAACACAAACATTGACCACAAGGCTGTATTTGTATCTATTTGGAAATCAAGCAAATTCTGGGTTTACTTTATTTTAAAAAGCGACTGCAGTCGCTGGAATTCTATTTACTTATTTTTTTTGCAAAATCACGTATGTGAAGAGGTGGCCCTTTCAGTGTGAAAGAAGTTCCTCAACAGTTCAGCTTTATGATAAGAGCTTCTTATGCCTTTTCACTCCTCCTTTTGATGCTATTTGCTGTCAAACAACAGACTGCTTCTATAGGCACACTTTGTCTTACTTATGAACAGGACCACAGGAACAACCAGTAGCTCCTCCTCCTTTGCTCTTCACTTACTTCTAGATGCATGAAACATCAAAACTTTCCCTCTTTCTTTTCCCCCTGACACCGGATTTCTCTCTGCCCATCTCCGAGATGTGAGATATGGAAATCCAGCTGTAACCTCTGGCTTTTTCCAACCAATTCCCTATCCCATTTTGTGTAGGTGAATCACAGCACTGAGTCGTGCAGACCTGAACGTAAGGCAGTTGGGTTTATATTCTATTTCAGATTGTCCATAAGGAGCAGACTGGGTCTCTTTGGCCACAAGACTTGCAGGTACCTAAAGCCCACACCGACTTTTTAGAGCAGCTGCAGTACCCTCTGCTACACACCTCAGAAAACTCTCAAAGGTCCCTTAATTACACTATGAAAGGACAAGGAAGAAAAACTGGACACTTAAGTAAATTATCCTGCCACAAGGCTGCTGTAAGGCCACAAGCAGCTACAAATTCAGATGAAGCCCAATGTTCAGAGCCCCTCAAACCCCACAGGAACTTGGCTGCTTCATCTCAGCTCTATTTTATCTTCAGCCCCTCTGAAGGAAGTTTTCTAAATTGCTCAAGGTACCATCAAACATTCCTCAGCCTATCAAAAAAATCTGTGGGTACCGATCCCCAAATTTCCTAAACTTAAAATTCCCAGTCTTTTGATTATTAAATTACAGTTTATTAAATACATGGATTTCCAGTTTCTTCCTCCCCTATGGAAATTAATTGATCAACAAGATCAAGGGAGGAAAGGGTGTGAACCAGTCCTGACTGACTGCACAGTGACACTGGGGACAGTCAGGCTGCAGCAGCAAGGCTGACCTCGGTGCTTCTTGATCTGCTGGTGATTGCTCACAAAAGGAGAGGCATACTCTGGTATTAGAAGCAAAATGGTTTTAATAAATCATGTCTTTAAAAGCAGCAGACAGCAGCTTTCCAGAAGTCCGAGGGGTTTAATCAACTACGTGCTAGATAAATTTATCTTAACTGTCACTGCCAGAGCTTTATCGTGGGCTCCCCGTAGCTGCAGACTGGCTGAAGCAAAATGGTTAAAATTTTCATTTTTGTCAGTGGTATCGCAGCTCCCACTGCGGAGAGGGGGCTGTGGGGATTTATTTCTGATCCTGAGGATGCTGAGAGCTGGAACTGGAGAGATTTCTAAGGCAGAAGAACAAATGAGATGCTGACTATATAAGAAAATGTCATAGGAGATTGGTCATAGGGAAGCAGAGCTTCCCTGAAAGTCAATATGCTCTGGAGAACAGAGACAAGCTGCTGCTGGGAGGGAATTACCAAATATAGCAGACCTGATACTGTGAACGATGATGACAAAGAGAAAACTGTTTATGTGCGACACGTTTGACAAAATTTTAAAGTAGAGACTTCTTTTTAGAGAGTAAGAAAAATCATAGAGTCATAGAATCATTTAGTTTGGAAAAGACCCTTGGGATCATCGAGTCCAACCATCAACCCTACTCTACAAAGTTCTCCCCTAATCACTACATAGTACGGTCACTAACAGCACATGAACATTGAAATATTCTTTATTTTTTGGAAGAATATTCATCCTACATTTGTAGAAATTTGGCCACCGCAATACAGCTGCAACATGAGGAACCTGTAAAACTGGCCAAAGGTTTGCAGTTCATTGAAGCACCAGAGATTCCTGTTGGCCATCTCTAACATTACCACGTCTATAAAACCAGCCAGAGGGATTTCATGCACATTGACACTCACGTCAGAACCTCTATAGTTGTAACTCACTAACTCATTTGGAGAAATGATTCCTGACAAACAATAGGATAGAAGGAACAACCAGCCCTAAAACCCAGTACCAGAAATGTTAGTGGGGTGATTGCCAGTAGAAGTTGAATTAAGATTTCTACAGAGCTTCAATTATCAGTTTTAAGGTAGGAATTTTTTTCTGTTAGATATATTATTTTATATATATATATATTATATATAATTATTATCAGTTAGCTGAAATATTCCTAACAGGAATTACTTAGGTCCTCTCTAGAGACCTAGATCACAGTATCAGGAAAAAAAACCAGATTTCATGATTTCATCAGAAAGAAGCTTTCAGCATTAAAACTATTACCCAAACCAGCTCTGCCAGTGACAATGGTCAGAGCTAGATGGGAGAAGAATCTGGACCACCACAGATAAAGGAAGTCCTTTTGGAGTGGTGCTGTGGAATAGGGAAAGGTAAGAAGAGGTATTGCAGACTTCTATTTTTATCAGAAAGTATGAAAAACATGTAGCAAAGTCTTTCATCATGTTTCTTGGTTATTGTAGCAAAATAATGAAAAAGCCACAGGAATCTCAGCCAAGGAGTTCCCAGTTTGTTTCCCTCTAAGACAGAGATTTTAGATCTTTATTTTATAGGCAACTGAAACAGTCTAATGCATGCTTAAAAATGAAATGAGATGAAAATGAAATGAAAACAGAATAATCTTTACCTTGAAAGCTATTCTTAAATCTGGATCCCTTCGGTAGAAGTTCCGGAGTATACTCACGATAGCCTCCTAAATAAAACTGACTGAAGACATTGAGTCCAACCAGTCTCCCAGGAGAAGCAACAGTTCTGTTCTTCTGATCGTCCACCTTCCAATGAAACATTTACATTTGTTAGAACAAAGGAATTTACCTTGTTTAGGAACTCCTAATGAAGATAGTCCCCCAAACTTAACAGGGAAACACAGAAGTGATTTTTAAACTTTCCATGTAAAATGTGAAAAAACCCAAACACTTTTATCTAAAAGCTATCCTTCTAAAGCAAGTTTGCGGACGATACCAAGCTGTGTGGTGTTGTCGATACACCAGAGGGACGGGATGTCATCCAAAAGGACCTGGACAGGCTGGAGAGGTGGGCCCAGGTGAACCTCATGAGGTTCAACAAGAGCAAATGCAAGGTTCTGCACCTGGGCCGGAACAATCCT